AAAGAAGTAGAAGGTCCAAATTTGACCATTCCAAATATTTGACACCTCCACAAGAGTCGAAAGAGCTCGAACTCCTGAAAATTCTAAGGGGAACACACGGGACAACTTCACAAGACTCTTGGATGATCCAGCTATCTGGAACGAAGAACGAAACGTCGAAGTTCAGATTGTGTCGTCTCCTCAAGATGCGGGATTTCAAGAACTTAATAGGGGTAGGGGTATGACTCTGACAACCAGGCACCCCCAAAAATCAAGAAAGACCATCGGATGTAGAACAAGCTACCTAACAAAACAAAAGGCCCTGCAGGGGAAGCCCCATCAAACTACTCAGTAAGGACAGTCTCCTCTCATGAAGGGAACATAACAGGGGCAATCGATGAAATTGAATCCCTGTTCGATAACTCCCATCACAGCATATGGCCACCAAGAGTTAACTCAGTCACTCTTTCTATGCAGAGGTTTATTCCAACTTAGGCATTGAGAAGGAACCTGTTACAGAATTAACTCTGGAGGAGCAACATAAGATTTTTACTGAAAAAGACAAACGAAAAAGAACAGGGTGATCGCTTACTTACCCCTTCCAAATAATCAAGTGGGGCATTCACACCTTGCTTGGGCTCCTAACTTCAAAAAAGGCATTGATGCCCAAGAAATAACATAAACTATCCCATTAATGGCAAAAAACCCAAAACGAGCTTAGTCACCCGAGCAAAAGATTGAAAGAATGAGAAACTGAGAGTGATTCCCAGTCTAAATATTGTGTTCGAATGGGGCAATTCAAAGGGAAAGTTCACCAAGGATTCCGTGATCATTGTCAAGGAGATGTTGGGTGCCAACTTGGGGTAAGAGAAATATGAGGATAATCAATATTGGAACCTCCATGATACATGGCGAAGGAAAAGATGATCAAATTTCTATATGGTTCTAGGGAAACATGCTAAAATAAAAAGGAAAAACTACTACTGATTTTTCTACTACTACTCCATCATCATGATCATCTTCTTCTTCTTCAAAACAAAAAAAAAGGGAAAAAAATAAAAATAAAAAAATAATCCATCGGGTTGAAAATCTGAAAAGGAACCCCGAGGGTTGAAAAATGCTATTGGGTTGAACACCCGAAAGGGACCCCAAGGCCATGAAATAAAAGAAGTTAGTCTCTCTTTTGTTTCTTCTCTGAAGTCTTGTCTCTGAAAATCCTATCATCTCTCTAAGTCTGAATGGTGCCAAAATAAATCCGAAGTATTAACCCGATGGATCATGATTAAGGACCTCTATCATCAAAACTTCGAAAGAAAGGTGACAAAAGGACGAGAAATCAAAAGTCCAAGGAGATTTAGAGCATTCAAGGGCAGTATCTCACATCTTTCAAGATATCAATTCATTTGAAAACTCTAAGGATCTTTCCTTTGAAATGCAACACATGGTTCGAATACGAAGGAATACTTGATGATTCCTCATCCTGAAGATCCCAGCAAGGACCCGACAAGCTCATATAGGGTCCCATCAAAGGGGTCACAAGTGGTTAAACTGTAAAGCCTGCTTTTTTTAAGAATTCTTGAGAAGTTTTTTTTCAAATCTTTTCGTTTAAAGCTCTTTTCAGAAATGCTCCTTGGTGGAGCAAGCATAAACTGCCAACCACTTTCAAATAAAAATCATTTTAAAAAAGTAGCTCAAAACGTCTAACCCCATATGACGTAAAAAGTTGGGTGTATCCAACACATCTAGCCCTATATGACGTAAAAAGTCGGGTATATCCAAAACGTCTAGCCCCATATGACGTAAAAGGTCGGGTTATTCTTCCAAAAAACGTCTAGCCTCGTAAGACATAAAAGGTCAGGTGTCTTCTTTCCAGAAAACGTCTATCCCCATATGACGTAAAAGATCAAGTGTATGTAAAATGTCTGTCATTACGTCAAACTATCGGTTTGATTACGTCCGCATCACATGACATCAAACTATCGGGTTGATCACGTACACCACCAAATGACATCAAACTGTCAGGTTGAATGCGTCCATCGCTGCATGACATTAAACTACTTAGAGGACTCCATGGTTGCATGAGCTAAAACTGCTACCTAAATTTGTTTTTCAAAATATCTTTCCCATTTCCAAAATTTTCCCTAAGTGTCTTGTGTTTTCAAAAATTTTAATTTCTTTTTAAAAACATACGAACTTCTGGTTCTGTTTTGGAAATTTCCCTCTGTTATCAAAATTTCAAAGAAACGTTTTCTAAAATACAAGAGTTTGACAAGCCCGTAAATGCTACCGCATTGCCACCTTCTTTATCTCTATCTGAAATTGGTTGAATAGCCTATGTGAGAAATGAAGCTGGAAAATTAGGTCAAATCTGCCTAGCAGAAAAAGGCCTTCCCAAGCCTTGTGAAACCCTAAAGGGGACTAAGGAGATATAGCCAGATTCAGAAATTTGGGTTGGAGATGGAAAATCCTAAGGTTAAGTGGCATGGCTAAAAAATCTAGTTCGTAGTCCAAACCACAGTTGCTGGAACCTTGTAAGGTCGCGGACCCGCTTCGGAACTTCGATTCTGCAGTTCCAGCAAGGAATCTTGGATGGAACGTGGATCCCTATTTTGTGATCCGCATTCCCAACAAGTTCGTACCACGGTTCTCAAGTGTATGGCACAGTGCAATTGATTTTTTCTCTATTTGGCACTGATTCATATACAATGATTCAGTTTTGTGCCCAAGGGTACTGGGAACCCACGCATCATTCTAGATCCCTTAAAACATACTATTGTGATTCCTTCCACGTGGAATTGTGCTTCCCTGTGACAAGGATCGCGCTCCCTTTATATAGGATCGTACAGACGACGATTCCAATCACAGGAAGCTACCAACAATCCACGGTTTCGCGGACCCGAGCCCGCTCCCGCTCGTGGGAACGCAAGCACACACCGACAACCACGGTCCAAACTAGTGTGAGGAAAACATCACGAGAAAACCTTAGGCCAAAAAGCCTAGGGGCGAACTTGCACTAGGTGGATGAATGGGATGAATGCGACTCTCGTGTCAAGCGTTACAGAAAACGGATTATTATGCCCTTCTGATCATTTGACATAAGGTGAAATGTTCAATTGAAATTGTCAGCAAGTTTATACTTCTTTGCCGCCTGCCTATTCCTCAAAGAACATGAAGCGCCAACTACAGACCCCCATTTTGAATTTGGCTATTTCTTCCCCACTTTTTCCTAATTTTTAAATCCCTAAAATTGCATAAAAAAATGCCTAGTAGATGCTTAGGGACAGTCCCAACCAAATACACCATAGTCTTACCTTTTCTATGGTCCACAGTCCCTTGGACCAATATCCCAAACTTCTAAAACATCCTAGAGAATCTCCAAAATAATCTTAAAACCTTAGGAAACCATCCTAAAATCTAGAAAGTCATCCTAAGCACTAGAAAATAGGAAAACAGACTTAAGATGGAAGCTTTCGGGATAAGTTCAATCAAGAAAAGACAGAACTTAATCAAAATCAAGAAGCGTAATCGTGAAAAATTAGCCTACCTTGGTCTAAACGCCACGCTTCATGACATCCGAACGATAAAGCTCGTCTAAGCCCTGGATCCCCAAAACCCCGAAAAATCAGCTCACATACCTCAGAACCCTAGACACCACGAACTGTGGCGTCTGAACCAGAAACCCCTAAACACTATGTACCATGTCGTCTAGACCTAGGAACCCGAAAATTCAGCTTATTGAACTCCGAGAATCTTGGGCACCACGTTACATAGCATCTGATCCAGTTTTACCAAAACACTGAATATCGCGGCTTCTAAACATTTTTTATCAATCAACTCGAATTTTTTTTAAGGAATCATTCCCAATGGACTTTTGAAGCCAATATAAGGGTTCTATTTCGGATCATTGGGAAAACATATAGACCTTAGATCTAGAGACCTAATCCTTTGAGAAAACCTAGAATTAAGAAGCCTAACCCGCAAGAGACTTAAACCTTCCGCAAGTGACTTAAACCTTAGCTTCCCAAACCCCAAACTCCAAAGAATAAACCTTAGCCTAGGTCATCTAACCTTAACTTTAAGACCATAACCTTCAAACCCTAGATCCTAGAAGCAATGACCCTAGATCGAAGCTACAAAGCCCTAATTCAATCTTGACCTCAAATTCCAGCAAATTTCATAAGAGAAAATCATCCAACTTCAACAAGACAATTTGAAGGCAATAGGTGTAAATAATTTGCAGTCCTGATAAGGGCGACATCCTTTAATTCGGGTGTCCACTGCCAACCGGCTTGGGTAGGTAAGTTTCTTATCCCCTTTCTTCTTTAAGTTCTACTTAATTTTATTTATTTTAGTTAGATTTAAATTTGTAGAGAAATTTTTCTATTCTTGGCAAAAAGATCAAACGAGCGCTGCCAGCAGTTTAAAGAAGAATCGGCTTACACAATTTAATTGGCCTTTAAATCAGAATTTGACTATCATCCACACAATCTCTATCTAATTTTAATTTAACTAGTTATATAGCGATAGATCAGGGGATCTCATATTTGAAATCCTCTCGATTTCGCATTGTAAACAACAAGAATGACATTTCTGCTTCAAGACTTCGTAGCAAGGACAGAGAACAGCAAAGAGAAAATATCAGTATGTCTAAGAAATACATGTGTGTGAATATAATCTAGAACGCACACACACAAGCACACATACACACACTCGCACATAATAAAAGAAACAAAGAATGTAAAAAGCGAATATAAATTATACATCGAAGTGAAATGCATGCTTAAATTATAGAAACACACTACCAGTGCTCGAAGAGAAAAAGCAATTCTCAATAGTCACTACCACCTCTAAAGGCCCTCTTGACAAAAAAGTGAAAGGCAGGAGTTTTAGGATCTTGAAATCCTCAATAAAAAATCCCCCCACGAAAACAAATACCCAAAAGGCCATTAATAACAAAAGCTTAAGCTTGACCAAGCATGCATATAAAAAATGAAAAAAGAGGACCAATCAAAGAAAAGTACCTTCACTTGCCCAATAGATTTCAGATCATGGGAAACACGAAGACTATTGAAGAAAGGAAATGGAACATCCACAACAAATTCCAAAGCCTTTAAGTTTAACCTCCACGTCTGCGTGTAGAATGACAAGAAAATTTGAACACAAAGAAGAGAACACCATGCTATATTCACCAAGCCAACAAAAAACAACATGCATAATGATGGAATGTAGAGTATTCAATAAAAGAATATATAAACCTTTGGAGAAACTAGAAGTAATGGATTAATCAATGAGGCTACATTCTCTAAACAATCAGGATGAATCTCCAGAAACTTATATACTGCAAAATCTAGGCAAGATACAGCAACCTTGCAAGCTTGAGAAATGTTTCCAGCAGAACCTGCTACAAAATAAGCACACAAATTTGAAAAGCATAAGACTGATCTAGAGCAACACTAGAAGTAAACTACCATTCCAAAATAGTAATGATAATAATAATTACTATTCTTGTTGCTGCTGTTCTTGTTATTCTTATTATTTACAAACGGAGGACATCGAATTCTAACGGACGTAATTATAGTACTATATAACAATAACAAATGGTAAACCGGTAGAGGACACCGAACTCTGGCAGAGGTCACTGAAGGCTGGATTGCAAGGAACAGCACCCCAAGTGAACAACTTACTAGCTGTTAGAATATTGATGCATCTGGCAAGCACATCATGAAAGGCTTCAAAAAGAGATGCTGGATGAACAATTTTAGCCAATCCATCAAGAGATAGAGCCACCTCAACAACACTAAGATCATCATCGTGAAGCCGCCGCAGTAATGCTTCTCCAATATTTCTTGATACCTACGACCACATCAGCCAGTGAATAGGGTTAGAACTCAAGGGCAGAAAAACTTTCGTATCAACAATACTACACAGGCATCATGCTGTAGAAACACACTTGCATTTTAATCAATGACAAATTAACATGCATCTCGATTGTCATGCAAATGAGAACCAACACCCACGGTACTATTCCAGATTCGAAGAATCGCCTCTCATCAGTAATCCCAAAAAATACCTACAAATATCAACAATTTCACATTAACCAAAACCTACCTTCAGATTGATGCTTTCATTATTCAGTATACCAGCTGTAGCAAAATTGGATAATGTCGCACGACGAACCTCAGCCTATGCCACCACAAAGATTACAAAAGCACATCCCAGTAAAATACACGTTAAAAAACTATGCAGTATGAAAACAAACAAAAAAGCATGACCCTCGAGATATGTTTTTATTCATAAACTTCTTTCGATTGATCCATGGAACAAATGAACCAATTCCCAAAAGAAAGCAGGCAATTACCTTGGGATGCTCCAGATAAAACCATATTTTTGACATAGCAATCTCCTTTGTCATGTTTGAGTCACCATCCAACATCCAGCATAAACTCTCAAGAACAGAACTCCCATGAGTGGAATGCATCTTTGGACTCTAAATAACCAAATAAATAAATAATGAATACCATCTTCAAAAGTGAATGCAGTAGGAAAGTCCCAACAAAGCAAACACATAAATCAATAAAAACGAACCACCACCTCAAGGAATTTATAAATTGCTCTTCGCAATTCAGATGGATAATGCTCATCAATTGCAAGAAAAATCTGCTTCGCCCAGCTTCCTGAAGCATCTGCCAAAGAATTCACGAAACACACAAGGTGAGAAGCCTACAAGTTCATTAACATAATACAAAAAGACCCAGCAGATGAGACCACAAAACTCATAAAGCAATATAGTGAAAAGTAACAACTATTGGATATTTCTTCTTGATTACTGCGAGGCATGAAGATGAATCCCAAAAAAACTCCAAACTAGATGGCCTTCCATCACCCACTCCAATGCAGATGACATCCTTGTAATGCCTGCCCATCCCAAGTTGACATCCTTTGGCCATGTATTAGATGTTTCAAATTCTCCACGTGTCTTAAAGTAAACATGGACAAGACCAAATTTCTAGGAGAGAGGTCTCCCCTACTGGAACATAAACTTGGCCAAAAGGCCAGGTTGTGGTAGCAACATACTACATGCCAAGGACCTGGACTACAATTGTGTGTGGGGAAGTAAAAGAAGGCGGTTGGGGACAGGGTCCATGAGGAATTCAAGAGAAGATGCACGACCTGGAAGTACAGGTTGATGTCCTTTGGTGGCCATATCACCATGATCAAGGCTACACTTTCAAATATGCCTGTTTCTCACATGTCCATTTTCAAAATGCCTGCTTCCATAGGAAAAAAACTAGAAAGACACATGAGTGAGTTCCTCTAAAGTAGAGCTCGGGTGACCATAAATTCCATATGGTAAGATGAGGAACCGAACCAGAAGACAGAGGAGTCTGACATCAGAAAATTGAGAGACAGCAACATGGACACAGTTGGGTAAATGGTGGTGGAAATACAGCATCGAAGAGAACCACCCGTGGCAGCAGGTGATGAAACAGAGGTACAGACCGATACGTTGGGTTGGCTTTCAAGAGGGCCGAGCTCAAGGGTTCAGAGGCATGGAAAGACGTAGCAGTTATCTCCATGGCTTTCTCAGACTGAATTCGATTTGCAAAACCAAGTCCGATTTTGGAAAGATATCTGGTTAGGCTTGCAATGACTTAGGCAAAACTCCCAAGTATTTTCCTCCAAGCATCCAACCAGGATGCCAATGTCTTGGACCACTACGACATCCTAGGAGGCTGCAAAGAATGGTCGTCTATATTTAGGCACAACTTACATGACCAGAAAATTCGGAATGTAGGTCTTCAGAATTGGTACACCTTCTGTAAACCCTGAACCGGTACTATCTTCTATGCTCAGTCAAGGACAAGGTCATCTGTGTACCTCCACCTCAGGTTTATTCTCTGTAACATCCTTCAGCAACACCTCAACCCATCAATTCCCATCAGTTCATATGTGCCTCAAACTGCAACTTCCAACTGGTTGCTATCTCCAACAAAGTAACACAGGACAAAATCCAAAGAAAAGGAATACCCCATATCAAATAGATGCCCCCATATGAGGAAACATTAACCACGTGTTCCTGCATTGCACTTTGGCTTACCTCATTTGGACATAGATCCTAAATTTTCTGACAATACTGAAACTTTCGGGGTGATCCTTAGCCACACCAATTTCAATCACAGCTCTCAGTCTTATTCTTGCCCCTCCAGTCTCATCCTTGGGCAAGCAGCTTTACTAGCCATAACTGGGAGGGGAACAAGGAAAGGCACGTCAACTCTATCTTGGACAACACCAAGCCCGTGATCATTTTCTGGCCTTGCAAAAATCCATCGCTCCTCAGCGACACTTGACGGCAACTGGAAAGACATTGGATCACAAGGTCCTCCCATTCCTCCCATTGGATCCCACCTAAGCCCGACATGACCAAATTTCAATTCCATGGAACTTTGGCAATCACCGCACAGCTAGGATGGCGCACATTACAGGATCCGTTAGAGGGACACTCTACTCATGTTTTGGTGCCTTGGACCTTCTAGATGCCCCTCGTGCATGGGCACAGGCACTCCTAGCTGGACTCGTATGTTTGACAGAAACTGGAGTCCCCAACTCCTAGAGGAAGCAGACTCCCAAGATGTAAATAGCTGGGCCAAGAAACAATCTGTCTGCCTCTCGAAATTGTGGAGCCCATTTGCAGTTAAACTCCCCAACTAGGCCAAGGCGTGCGCATCAGCTTCAGGCATACATGAAGGCAGGCCAACACCCTGGCCAAAGGAGGGAATGCCGATGAAAACCTCAATAAATGCAGGCCCTCACATCCTAAATTATTGCAATTTTGCACCGACATTAATCTTTACAAACTTGAGCAAACAATTTTCGCAAACAGCTCCCCTCAAAAGTTTTGGTACACAACCACTTGCACCTTTTCACACAATTTATTATAATGTTAATTCATCAGAAAACATCAAAAAAAAACTTAAAAGAGTGAATTAATACCTGATTCTAGTGCATTGTTCCTTGCCTTTTCTCGAGACAACTTGGTGCAAGCCTCAAGCACCTTGGATACAATACTTGGAACAGAATCCTTAGCAAGGAGAGTTTCCATCATAGCAATCAAGGCATGACGACATATCTCATCTGAAGAACTGTACAGGCAATCACTAACTACCATTTAAGCATTGCAAAAGTGAAAAAGTGAAATCCATCTCATAGACAAATATAATAAAGGCAATAAGCTGTAAACCTGAAGGAGGCCAAGTGAGTCAAATAAACAGATAGAAACCCCTCAATGTTGAATTCCTTCGAGAGTGCCAAAAGAATTGTAGGAAGATTCCTTCAGAAATAAAAATAGCAACAGAGAAAGAGGTGAACATAGAGTTGCACGGCATATTTAACATATTGCAATACTAACAAAAGAAGGTCATGTAACTAACCCAAGAGCAATAAGCGCTACCTGACTTCCTTCAAAATGTCTAAACTCTTCTTTGGAAGTGATGTCACTGATTGCGACTGCATAGATAAACATAAACATTGGCAATAAGCAAATACCCAAACTTAGCAAAATGATTCTTAAACTTTATTATCCCAGAACTATAAAACAAAAGTCAACTATCATATACAAAACTATGATTAGAAGAATAAAGATCAATAAAAAAACTAAAATTATCAGTTTCTCCAACTAGACTTCATAAAATGCATTTCTCCATAAAATTGTACCAGAATAATTTTTAGAACCTGGTATGCAATGAGTTGGGAGCTGCTTTATTTTCTAGAAGGCTGCATCATAATGTTGTGACTGTTAAGCAATTTTAGGCATAGCAATGTCGTATTTCATATAATCTACTACAGGTTGGTTTGTCTTCTATTTTTTCTTGTTTCTTCTTTTTTTGGATGGTTAGAATCAATGTTTTACAACTCACGTGAGTCGACTAGAACTCGCTTCATGGCAGGTTGGCTTGCCCGAGTATCCCCCCACTCGAAGCATGATTAGTACAGATAGTATATAGACATAATTTATAATTAATTTGATCTTTGATTAAATCCATTATAAGCGACATATTTAGTTTGTTTATTTTGGAGTTTTATATTTTAAAAAAAAAATTTACTTTCTCTATATTTTCTCGTTTTTAATTTTCTTTTATTACTTTTTGAAAACCTTTTTTTTCCAGCTATTGTACCCACCATCTATTGTTTATCATTTCCATTGTTTTTTCCTATTTTCAACAGCTTTTAAAGGATTTTTCTTCTTTTTTTGTAACTTTTTCTGGACTTTTTTTAGCCCGACGCAGAATTGGGCAGGTGGGCTTCAACTTGTCTGAGTAACTCGGCCAGGTCGGTGGTCTAGTTCCGCAGTCGAGCAGACTAAAAGATCATTGGTTAGAATGGATTGCAATTTGGCATTGAAAAGGAAGTACTATCGTTCGATGTCTCCTTGCACAAATTGTAACCCTTCACTACTTTTCTGCTCTTGGTTTTGTTATACCTCCTCACAAGATTCTGATTCTATTTTCCTTTATTATGTTCCTCCAACAGCATTCATGCAAAAGTAGAGCCCCTATTTGACAGCTTATTCTTTGTTGTTAAACCAGCTGGAATGGCTAATAGAAGGCCAACCAGCTCCATGCCTCCAAATTTCTATTGTCATTTCCCATAAAGACTACACCCAAGAATACAACGTGCATTCAAGAGGCCAAAGGCACATGAGCTTACCTAAAACTTCTTTAATGCAGAGATGCTAAAAAGTCCAAGATTTAACTATCAAATAAAAAAAAGCTAGAAGTCAATAGATCACTGGTTGGTTCCTTGCAAGTAGATCTCAGAGGTGTGAGCAAGTTTGTCAAATATTCTTCATGTATATCCCTTGTATATACAAGGGACCCACATATGTCCCTTATATACAGTGTTCCAAAAAGTGGACCGCCCTGCGCCTGGACAGCCGCCTAGGCGGATCTGGGGGCCCAGGCGCCCAAAAATAGGGGTGGTCCCTGGGCGCCCGCTTAAGCGCCCAGGAAACCGCCTAGGCGGCCACCCAGTGCCCAAACCGGGGCGGCCACCAAGGACCAGTGCCCCACCCAGAGGCAAAATTTTCTTTTGGTGGGGGCATTTTTTGTCCGGTTTTAGGTCCATTTGAAACCTACAACTTATTGAAGCCCATTTTAGAGAGAGAGCCCCCGAAAAACTATTCTTTTGTTATGATTTCTTTAGGATCGAAGGGTTTCTCAAAGTTATGAGAAATTGATCAAAACATCACCCATTAATATTAGATTTAATTTTTTATGCTTTATAAATCTACTGTAGGCTTTTTTTCGAAGATTTTGAGTCCTTAGAAGCATCTTTGAGGTGGAAGTTAGGAGATTGAGGAATCAAACTCAAAGTAAGTGATTTTTTTTTAATTACTTGTATAAATTGCATTAGTTTGGGATGTCTTCTTCGGGATCTAATAGGAATGGTGATCCCGGTTGGAAATATGGCTACAACCAGGTCCTAATGATAAAAATTGCATAAGATGCAATTTTTGTGAGAAGAATACAAAAAAGGGCATAAACCGATTCAAGAAACATCTTGTCAGTATCAGGGGGGATGTTGCCCCATGTAAAAAGACTCCTGATGGAGTTAAAGAGGAAATAACCAATTTTTTTAATATGGTAAAAATGAAAAAAGATGAGAGATTTGCCTCAATAACAAAGATTAGGTTTGGAGTTCGGATCAATTATGATGATGATGATAATGATGAGGATGGGATGGGGGAGGGATGTCAAGAGGTAGAAGTAGAAAAACCATTATTAGGGGAAGGGGAAAGGGAAAAGGAGTTGTAATTGCTTCTAGTTCTGGTTCGGGTTCGAGTTTTGGTTCTAGGAGTAAGAAGCCCCGGGTTAGAGGCCCTATGGATAGTTTTTTCCTGGGCCTGACCCTGAGGTTGCAGGAGAGACAACAAAGAAGCAAACCACCATTGACAATAGAATGAACTAGGAAGAGAGAGATAGAGCTGCTTATTATCTTGCTACATGGTTTTATGAGGCGAGCATTCTTTTCAATACCGCTTGCTTAAGCAACTTCAATGTCGTGGTAGAGGCAATTGGCCAATTTGGGCCTGGGATGAAACCCCCAACCCCATATGAGCTTTCAGAGCCTCTTTTGAAAAAGGTGCTGAGTGTCATGAAGGAAGATGTAGAAGTTAAGAATGATGCATGGGCTCAACATGGGGTTTCTATTATGACTGATACTTGGAATAATAGGACGAGAAGAAGTCAAATGAATTTACTTGTGAATTGTTCTTTAGGGACTGTTTTTTTGAGGTCTATTGATGCCTCTGATCATATCCATGATGCCCATTACATATTCCAAGTTTTAGAGAAGGGAATCAAGGAGGTTGGAGAACATCATGTTGTACAGGTTGTCACAGGCAATATTGCTCCTAATGTTGTTGCAACTAATTTGTTGCGCATATCTTATCCTAGAATCAATTACAAATTTCATTTATGGCCACCATCTCACCCTCAGCATGATGCGTAGATTTACAAAGAAGAAAGAGATTGTGAGGCCTGGGGTCACGAGATTTGTGACCTGGTACTTATGCCTAAATAGCATACGTTCGAGGAGAGTGCAATTGAGGCAAATGTGTACCTCGGATGACTAGAGAGCATGGAAGTGGTCCAAGGATCAAGTTGGAAAAAAGGTGAGAGACATTATCCTTTCTAAGGCTTTTTGGCGCAGGGTGATGAGCACTCTTAAGGTATTTTTTCCTCGTCAAAGTCCTTCGCATAGTTGATAGTGATAAGCCTTCTATGGGCTATATATGAGAATATGGAGAAATGCAAAAAAGAGATAGCCCAAAATTTTGATGATGATGATGAGAACTGCTACAAGCTTATTTGGGACATTATTGATGAGAAGTGGGATAAGCAGCTACATCAGCCATTGCATGAAGCTGGAACCCAGCTTTTTTTTTTATTGTTGACAAGGATATATACACAAATGATACAATTATGACTGGATTTAATAAGTGTGTAGATGTACTAGTCCCTGATCCTGATATCCAAGATATTATATGCGCTAATGAGACTATAAATTGCAAGTGCTCATTAAAGTCTTTTGGGAATCCAATGGTGATAAGGCAAAGGACCAAAATTGATCCAGGTAGTAATAATATTCTTAAGTTCATCAAGTTCAAGTAATCAAGTTTCATTTTTATAATTCTATTACTTATTTATGATTTTATTCTATACCTTTGCAGGCAATTGGTGGAGCCAACATGGGTGTAGTTCTTCAAATTTACAAAAGTTGGCCATTCGGATCTTAAACCTAACCACTTCCTCTTCCGGTTGTAAGCGCAATTGGGCTACTTTTGAAGGGGTAAAGTTGTAAGAGTAATTTGTATAATTGTAATAATAATACATGAACCATAAATTATAATTAGTTTCATTTGATTTTGTTAGATTCATACAAAGAGAAGGAACAGGCTTGAATCAAAGAGGCTCAATGACCTAGTCTATGTCAAGTATAATCGATTCTTGAAAAACAGGTTTGCTAAGAGAAATCAGATCAAAAAATATGGACAAAGCTATGGAGTGGTTAGTTGACGATGATGAGGTCGAGGGGCATGAAGGATTGACATGGGATATGGTCATGGAGGCTTCAGGGACATCAGCGGATCCTCCTAAGGCCACTAGATCTTCTACACAGAGAACGAGGGTGGAGGAGGACGAAGAGGCAGATTCAGAAGCGACAGAAAAAGACGACCAATATGCCAAGGAGGGTGACACCTCCGATGAATATGATGCCAATGCAACTGACCCTAGTTTTTCTGATGATGAATGATGCATGTTGAATAATTATTAAACTTTGAACTTTGATTGAACTATGAAAGGTAAATTTTAAGTTTTAATTGGATATGGATTATGGACCGACTTATGGTTATGCTTATAGAGTGTATACTAATGTGTAGTATACTCTCAATTTTGATGTGCCCTAAATACCTAATTCTTATATTTTATACAATATATATCTATAAGAATCCTTTTTGGATTCAACTGGGCCGCCCAGGTTTTGGGCGCTGGGCAGCCTGGACACCCAGGCCGCCTAGGCCCGCTAAGCGCTTTTTGAAACACTGCTTATATATACCCACATATGTCCCATTTTTGGCCATTAGTATTTCTCAAGATGCTCTTGGCTAACCTTCCATTCAGAACTAAGACTTGGAAGCTTAGCACCCACAGCATTTTACCCTCAACAACATGCTTTATCCAATAATATTGGATGATCCACAAGTGGTGACCTCTGTGAAACCCAAGATCTTGCCATACCAACCTCTCATTCATGGTAGACAGATACATCAATAATTGTAACTTTCCAGCAGATGAAAGAAAAATGTATAGCTCAAGCTTGAGAAGCTAATCAACGAGAAAATGGAGCAAGGGGAATGTTCTAAATATTGAGGTGAATAAATCTATAGAAAGAGATTCAGAAAGAATGCTAAACGAGACACCAATACACTACATCTTCACATTCCACAAGCCATAACACGTTGCAATAGTTGGGACCATATTGTACTATGAAAGAAAAAAGCAAACAAAAATAGCTAACTATGAAAGAGAAAAAAGCAAACCAACAAATATATCAAACAAAAATAGCTAACTATGAAAGAGACAATAAGGAAACTACTAAAAAAAAATTTCGCTAAGCAATTCTCAAATGATATAAACAAATTTGGAGAGACATAACATAACGTCTAAGTTTTAGTTTGACTAAAATATCTACTTTAACTTTAGTACCTGAATAAGTTTGACTAAAACCATGACTAATACCCGAAGCCAAGACAAGCCACCTGAGTCATCAGCATATTGTCGAACAAGCCTTGCTATATAGATTATCAGAGTATTGGTGAGATTAGGAGCTAGCATTGCCCTACTTGCTAGTAGGCCTACAATCATCACAGCACCAGCCTGTAGAAAAGAAAAGAAAAAGAAAAAAGGAAATTACAATGCCATGAAAGAGCCATGAATAAAAATATAAATGCTTAAAAATTACTTTGTTCACACTAAAAACTTGAAAATGAATCACCAGAAGAACGCAATACAATAACAGTGTAATGACTTATTGAAAAGTGTTCCTCGACATTCTCACTGAATAATGACGAGCCCACATCTAGCCATTCATTGATTGAAGTTATTAATGACACCTAGCAATCCTCATACCACATCCGCAAATGTGGTGCTTCCAAAATCCGTGGCTATAGTTTGTGCATGAGTTGTTCACAAATCAAAATTCTTCAACTTTACAACTAATACTTTCCATTGATGAGCCATAAGAACTTTACAATGCAGTTGAAACTATATAAACTTCACAGATAAAAGCATATCAATATCAGAAGAAACAAAAGGAAAAGCATTGTTTCCACACCATGTGTAAGCTGATAGGTATACAAGAAGCACATCAACTGCCTGTCTTGAAAACAGACAATGGAGATGACCCACTGTGGAGACATGGTAGTACATCCATTCATCTTCACCAACATACTTCTAAAGAACAGGGGATCCATTGCTCGTGTACCTTCTAGTATATACATAATATGTGCAATCCCAAAAAGAGGTCTAAAGCTACAAGGAAGCAAGAAAAAGTCGAGGACCAAGGACAATAAAATGGCTCTCCAAGATTTGACGTTAAAGAACCAAAACTCAAGTAGCAATTTTCGTGTACATAACAATACCAAAAAAGGAGAGGAATGGCACGTGCACTCACACACAGTCCGACATGTATATAAATTCAAGAAATGTAAATGACAAGCAGACACTCCATAAAAATCATTTTATGAAACAAATATGCATCATTAGGGTGTCCCAAGAATCGAACAAATAACAAGCATATTATTCCACTACATGGAAAAGATGAAGCAGTAAATAAAGCCATACAAAGTTCACCTTGTGATCAGAGCTGCCATCAACATTAGCATTTAAGCATGACAAAACAAATGGAATGATTCTTTGCACAAGTTCACTATCCACTACAGTTACAGCACCCAGAGTCTCGACTATCACTGCAGTGCTAAAGCCGACAACTGTTCTTGAGTATAAAACCTTCTTTTTAGGCATCGCCTGTAGTGAAACACAAAAAAGGAATAAATAATGAACATCAAGAATACAAAGGAGAAGAAAAAGAAATCGAGATAAGCTAGTGAGGGCACTCATCCTTACATAATTGCATATAGCCTCCAAAACTCCAAAATCACGAGTACACTGTTGGACTATAACCTTCCTAGGTGGTGGTGCACCAGATACTTTAACACCTTCTAAGAATCCCCATTTTGTATTTCTACAAAACCACCAACATCACAATAAGACAAGTGTTATCCACACCAAATAACACATAAAAGGTATTGCAAAAATTATGTACCCTCTTCCCTCTCTATCACACAATTACCACAAAAAATAAATAAACAAAATAACATCACAAGTATTGCACTAACTTAAATTCTCCCTTCTGTCCCGGCAAAAAGACATGTACATGAGTGTATAATCAGTATACAAATATACAAACACATTAATTTTCAGAAAAAATGGTGTGCATACATAGACATGTGGGCATAACAACACAACTGCACATATTTTGTGATCTCTTTTTTAAGAATTTCAAGACTCACAAACACCAGACTTTAATGTTAAGGTTTTTGGGTGAAAATTAACAATCACGAAATTCAAACTATCGAGTGTGAGTCGCAATGATGCACTTAGGAATATATACATCAGGTCTAATCTTGTCCAGGATATGGCATAAGCAATTGAAATCCAAAACAAAATTGCTGATATTTCCAACCTGAGCCCCAACATTCAACCAAATTCCCTTCCCAAATGAAATGAACAGTGTGCTGCACAGCAGCAAATCAGGATGATACAGTTACTACTTAATAACAATGAAGATGAACAGTATGCTGCACAGTCAATGGAAACTGAAGCTGTACCACAGGTACAAAAACAGAGTAATGCACAGGATGCCAAGGGGAAATTGAACTGCTGGTAGCACGGAAACTGTCGATGTTCGCAAGATAACAAAAAGAGACACAACGGAAAACAATGCCCCAGGCAGTATAATTTTAGGAAACAAACAGTATGTCTCAACATACTACCAAAACAAAAGAAGAGGTCAAAGAAAAGGACAAAGACAACACAAAATATATTCATTGTACTGTCATGATATAATTCAAGGGTGGAAGAAATGGCAGCAAAGAATGAATGCCAGAACTGATGGAGAATTGGCAGCCGATAAATGAAATGTAATTTAGTAGCACATAATAGAACCTCTTAAATTAGAGTATAGAGTTAGGTGCCTCTTATACTCTGACTTGATATCATCATCATCGCCATCATCATCATTAGAGCCTTTTCTCAACTATTTGGCTACTCTGACTGGATATAAAATATAGAATTCATAATCTTGGATTTAATATACACACTCTTTGAAATAGTATAGCGCCGACCAAGTATAGCACCTGTTGAGAGGTGCAAGTTAATTACTAAAAAGGGCCAGGGGTAGGCCCAAAAGGACATGGTTGGAAGTAGTTCGAAAAGACATGGGGACTTATGGCCTCACAGATAGTATGGCCTTTAATATAGGGGACTGGCAGACCAGGATTCGTAGCCGACCCCAATTAATTGGAAAAAGGCTATGTTGTTGTTGACGATGATGATGACTCTTTGAAATAGTGTCACTATAAACTGTGGCTAGCAGAAAAAAAGGTATGAACAATCGAATTCTGAGCCAGTAACTTAGAAAGCAATCTATGAAAAAATGAATCACTGAAAACAACAATTAATTAAACATTTCACCTAAACTTCTTCAATATATGTACACCAAAACAAAGCCCTCACCTCAAGTCCAGGAGCTGCACAATCCTCACAAATACAGTCGTGTCATGGTATGGCAATGCACACAAAACAAGGTCATCCATATTGTACACATGAACCCTGAATTATCAACGAATAAGAAACCAAACAAACAAAAGAGAACCAAATTTACATTAGTAGGAAAAATGAACAGAGCAACTAGACTTCGAAAATGGATACTCTCTACATACTTGTATCGACGAATAAGATATTCGACAGTCTTTTGAGCTGAGGAAAGTTGTAGTTGTCCAGAAAGTAATTGCAAATACATAGAGATTGATTTGTTTATGCCATTGTTTTCAGTTGAATTAAGAACTTCTCTGTCAAACCCAACACTCTTTTGACTAAAAAGAGTGTCTCTGTATGGGCTAAAACGTTTATCCATGGCTGCCAAGCTTTCCAGCCCTGTAATATACAACATCAACTCTTAGAAATTTCCAAATAACTCGTGAATATGATCACAGAATGACACAAGGAATATTACCTCAATTCAGAATAATCTCAACGAAATTGTTCCATACCTGAAACTGCAATGGACAAAAGAGTTTCGAGATCGATATCAGCCGCTTCTTTTGGGCCAAAGAGGATCGAAGGTTGGGTGAGAGGGCGTTTCTGATGAGCTGAATCACCAAAAGTGAGGGCTTTAATGGCCTTTAACTGTGATGCTAAAGTTGAAGCCATGCTGCAAAACTGCAGAATCAAAACGCTCCTGTAACGAGTTATCCAGAAGCCAAATGTTCGCAGCCCTAACCTCTCCGACCAAGGCAAGGGAACCAGGACTGAATCAGATACACCCTAATCGTTAAATCCCAGCTTCTGCTACAAAAACCCTAGAAAAAGGGGTCACTGGAGACTTCTTCCACGTAACAAAGACCCTAAAACCCTAAAATCCAAGTGAAAATATGGACGAATGTTTAGAGAGGAACCGCCTTTCACAGGAATGGTGGGTTTAGGTTTCTTTTACGAAAATGCCCATTGAAAGATATCGCCAGCCATGCAAGCAGACGTGCATTGCCGATTACGTAAGAAGCCAAAATCGATTCAACGAATGCTCAAAATAAGTAGAACAATGTTTTAAAAATGAGTTCTTAGCATATGGCACCCTCCCACATCCATGTATAAGATCTCAAATTATTACCATTAAATTTAGCACATATCTCTAGAAAAGTCGAGTCTCATAATTATATGATAACTTTTTTAGAGATTTGTATCAAATTTAATATTGATCATTTAAGGTCCTACATATATGGGTGTGGAAGAGTCTCATAGGATCATTACTCTTTAAAAATAATTAAAATTTAAAAATAATACATAAAAAATACAAAATATATTATAAACAATATCAAACTTTGTTTAACTTAGTCAAGCCGATTGATCAAGATTGGTCATTCTAATTCATTAAGATCAGTTAATTATTGGTTTTCATTTATTTTCGACCAAACTTGGTTTTTGCTTTGGACTAAGCTAGTAAATGTATTATTTGGCGGTTCGCCTGGGCAGACTAGGTCGTTCGATCTTGATTACTGAATATACACATGCACGTGCCACGTCTACTATTGCTCTCAATGATAGACAATGAGATGATTTTATGGTGATCTTACGATGATCTATAGTCTTTTATCTTATGATTAATTTCAAGGAAAAAAATAGATACAATACATCAGCCTAGATTAAAAGCAAGACACTCCTGAAAAAACTCATCTGAAAAGGTTGCTTCAACCCCCTCAAATTATCTAAACCACATTTATAAAAATAATCAAGTTTTAAAAATAGTGCATCTTGCAACACATTATTTGGACCGTTTATGTTAAAATTTACCAACTATTTATAGATCTGCTAAATCTACACTATTTTTTGAGCTTTGTATTCCATATTTAGAGGCTGCAATAGATTTTTAGTCTGACATAGGAGCTTATGGCATAGAAACTGCACCTTTCGACAATGTTAAAATGTCACCTGCTTCAATTTTCCAAAATTGACACTAATATTTGTTGCTTCCTGTTAGTAAATATTGATGAACCGTGTATAAGAACAAATCCGAGATCATAGAAGGGGTGCCCGTGAGGCTGGTGATCGCAGAGCGCATATTTTTATCTTTTCGCCTTTTAGAGATATGTACTTCTTTTACTTGTTATATTCATCATCTCTCTGACTTCCCATTTTATAGGGAAAGAATAAGTACCATTGTATTTCTCCAACAGGTATTTGAGAAATGAAAGGGTTCCCTGATAATCTGCAGTTTGTAATCACTCAAACCATCTGTGCTTTAGTGCTTTCGCTAAAAAGATGACATAGCCTAATGGTTTATATTATCCTTTTGTGATTTTACTATGTGTATGGACTATATGGTATGGACTATTGATATGTTATAATACTGAAGTTTAAACATCTGGGAGGTTAATTTGAAATCAGATATATATCGTGGCATCAATTATGACCTAGAACTTTACCAAATTGATGTAAAGACTCCATTATTGAATAGAGAACTAAAGGAAACCATCTACATGAAGCATCTAGAGGGTTTTATAATTAAAAACCAATATAGTAAAGTATACATATGGTTTAAAACAATCTTCAAGACAATGATACTTAATATTTTATAATGTCATCCTACATATGGGATATGAAGTAAATAGATTGGATCATTGTGTTTATGTCATAAATAGTGAGAGTAAATTCACAATATTCTCATTATATGTAGATGATATCCTGATAGCTGAACATGACTTAGAATGATTGATAATACTAAGTCATGGCTCTCTTCTCGGTTTGAGATGAAGGATATGGGATAAGCACCTTATGTCCTAGGCATAAAAATAACTAGAGAAAGGAAAAAAAAAAAAAATTTCTTGTGCTTGAGCCAAGAGATATATCTTGACTCTCTCTCTTGGCTCTGTTCATACAATATTTCAAAATGGAAAATTGTAAGTTATTGTTTACTCCTATTGAAAATGGAGTAAAGTTGTCTAGGAATGATTGTTTACTATAAGGACAATAAAAGCCTAAGGTTCCCCATGCCCAAGCTATTGGTAGCTTGGTATATGCAGTAAAACGTACAAGACCAGATTTGAATTATGTCGTATGACTTGTTAGTAGATCTCAAAGTAATCCAAGCATAGCTCATTGGAAAGAAGTAAAAATAATTCTAAGGCACATTAAGGGAACAAAGCATCTGAAATTGTGTTTTTAAGCAGATAAGCTTGATGTTAAAGGATATTCAGATGCAGATTTTGCTGGGGATAATGATGATAGTAAGTTCACCTCATGACATATTTCCTCATTGGGGGGCTGTCGTTTATTGGTCTACCAAAAAACAATGGAATGTAGCTAGGTACACACAGGATGCATAATACATTGCTTGTAGCACTGCTTGTAATTTTGCCGTATGGATAAAGTGCTTCATAGCTAACTTAAAACTGTACATAATCGACAGATTGATCTAAATATTTTGTGATAATCAAGCCGCAATTACATTAATTCAAAGTGAAACAAATAGCTTCAAAGGAAGACATATAGATATCTAATATCACTACATTCAAGATGTAGTTGAGAAATGCGAAATAATTGTTAGTTACTTACCCTCATCATATATGATCGCTGGTCTATTAAAAAAGGGTCTAAGTGTTGAACTACTGTCTAAACACACTAACTTAATGAGACTTGAAAATGTTTAAGTCATACAGTTTTCATGAGTGAGAAATCTGCATTAGCGTGAAAATCCTCATGATATATTAGCTTAATGAGACTTAAAAATGTTTAAGTCAAACAATTTTCAGGCGTGAGAAATTCGGATTAGCGTGAAAATCCTCATTATAGATGTTTGTTATAAGATCCATATCCGGAAAAACGTGAGAAAAACCTCATAACAATGTATTTTCTTATAGGTCATACTCAAAAGTGGAGTATTCATATGACTTATTAAGGTCATACTCAAAAGTGGGAGTATGCATGTGAGTTATTATGCTCGGCCTTCATAGCCAAGTGGGAGATGTTGATATGTATGGCTATGAGACCTTATGTGTCTTAGCCTATATTTGTGGGAATTTTATATATCCAACGGTCATATACATATGAACGTAATACAACCCGTTGGAGACCAGGGAACCATTTAGTTTCTCAGCGATCCGTTGGAGAAATACAACAGTACCCCTTATTTCCCTATAAAGTAGGAAGCCAGAGAGATGATGAATATAACAAGTAAAATGCATAAATATCTTTAAAAGGCGAAGGGATAAAAATCCGAGCTCGGCGATCACCAGCCTCACGACACCCATGTGGGATCCTACACACATGGGTGAGAGAATGTCCTATAGGATAATTACTTTATATATATATAGACTATTTATAGACTATTTATTTTTTACACGTAGAGGTCATAATCATTATTGTCCCTTAAATTTCAAAATCAGTTGCAATTATACAAATAAAGTTGCAGTAATCTACATGGTTCATTTAATTTAGATTGCGTAGATTTGAAATTATCTTAAAGACGTGTCACGTATCAATACTATATTAAAAGACGTGTCAAAGTTCAAATAAAATAAATGATGTAGAGTATCACAACCTTATTTTCACAAATAAGGTTTGTAGCCATATACAAACCGCATCCAAAAATCAATGTTTAAGATAAAATTAAGAGGGAAAACGCATGTGTACATGTGAGTTGGTGAAACCACATCCTTTGATTTGATTTCTGAAATATTGTTTCGATAAAAGAAAAACTTTATATAATGTTTATACCTTAAAATATAGAGTCAAGGTACACCTTTAAAATCATTCGTAAAATGTGGTTTTGATGTTGGAAAAACATCTAACTGATCATCTTATCTAGATGTATAAATATATATAAAAAAAGAGACTTCAAGTTTTTAAAATAATACATTTTGCACACATTATTTAGACCGTCAATTTTTAAGATTTTATATGCGTTTATAAATATACTTGGTTTGAACTATTTTTGACCCTCCCCCTCCCATGTATGTAAGACCCCAAAGGATCACCATTAAAGTTGGCACATATCTCTAGAAAAGTTATCACATGGGTGTGAGACTTGGCTTTTCTATAGATTCATGTCAAATTTAATGATGATCATTTGACGTCCTACACATATGGGTGGGGGAAGGTCCTATAGGATAATTTCTCTTTTTAAAATTCAAAATTTTACAGGTTGGGTCTAGGTCGGGTCCATCTGAACCCAAAGTTGAAAAATGATATGGGACCCGGACCCCAAAAAATAAAATGGACCCCAATTCGGACCCAGACCCAAAAAAAATGAAATGGACCCCAATTCAAACCCACGCTCAAGCCGAACCCAAAAATAAAAATATCAATGTCGGTAACTATATTTAAATATATTTAATATACAGGGACCCAAAAAATATTACCAGACTTAGACATGGACCCGAATAGTGTTTAGGTCCAAGAATTGGACCCGGACCCAACCTGCCGGGTTTAATTTACCTATACCCGAATCGGTTCTACCATCGAGATCGGGTCGGGTTCCGGGTCTCCGTCTATTGGCCGTTGCCAACCTTACAAAATTGCTATCGTGCCAAAGTTTGAAGGTGCGTATGAATTCGATGGTTTAAGATTGGAACCTTCTGCAAACAACACCCTTTGCATCCACTGTAAAATGAATGAGGACAGGTGAAAGGAGAGGAGAGGGAAGAAGGCGAGGAAGAGGAGGCATGGGAACAAGGACGAGGAAGGTGCTCTCAGGTCTGCAGAGAGAGGTGTTGGGGCTTTACAGAGGATTTCTCCGAGCAGCTCGCAGAAAGGGCCCCGAGGAGCGGTCGGAGATCGAAGCGGTGGTGCGTTCGGAGTTCCGGAAGATGGCGGTTTTAGTGGATGCAAAGGATTTCATGAGAGTGGAGTATTTGTTGCGGAGGGGAAAGAAGCAGCTCGAACAACTCAACACCCCTGAAACCCTCTCCATCTCGTCCCTTAAACCTCCTTGAACCCTCCCCCTCTCTCTCTTTCTCTAGATCTCTCTATCTAGGGGAACCGCAATAGAATCATAGAAATCTCAGTGGAATCACCCCAATGCTTATTCTCTATGTTGATTCAAGAAATTTCAAATCTCAGGAATTTACCGTTTCATTTGGGTTTCCCTTCTCTCTATAGGGTTATCTCTCTCTAGGGGAACCCCAATATAATCATAGAAACCTCAATGGAACTATCCCAATGCTACTTCTCTATGTTGATTTAAGAAATTTAAATTCTTTGGAATTTGCCATTTATTGTGGGTTTCCTTACTCTCTGCAGGGGAACCCCAATATAATAATAGAAACCTCAGTAGAATAATCCCAATGCTGCTTCTAATGTGTTCATTTAAGAAAAAAAATTCAATTCTTAGGAATTTGCCATTTCTTTTGGGTTCCCCTACTCTGTCTCTAGGGGAACCCCAATATAATCATAGAAACCTCAGTGGAATTATCCCAATGCTGCTTCTAATGTGTTCATTTAAGAAAAGAAATTCAATTCTTAGGAATTTTCCATATCTTTTGGGTTCCCTAAACCATATGGGAAAGTGGAGGGTCTTCTAGAGTAAACTAACCCAGAAATTTGAGTTGTCCCATTTGTTCTTCTTGCTGGCCCTTTGTTTTTTGGGAATTGCTTTTGCTTCCCTTTCTGATCATATGTAAGAATTTCTATTAAAAAATTTGCCAAATTTGTTCATTTCCTTGAGGCCTGAACAATCAATGTTTTCTTGTACTGGATCACATGAACTCAGATTTTAGGTCTCTGCATTCCTATTTCGGCCATTGTGGAATCAGACCTGTTTGTTTTGTGTGGGAATAGCTATTGGAATAAAGAGAATTTAGTGGTGGCCGCAAGGATATGGTTCAATTTAAATGTGGACGGGGCAGCAAAACACAGTCCTGGAGGAGTTGGATGTGGTGATGTTATTCATGATGAAAATGGCTAAATCATTGAGGATTTGCACCTCTTGAGTCGATATGCTTGCTACTTACTAATGATCATGAGGAACTAACTACTATTGAAATCAGGATGGGATGAGCTGTTGCAGATTGTAGGTGAAGAATTATCCTCTCTGGTTCCATTCCATATTTTAAAGATCTCAGGTCCATTCCCGAAGTTCGAATGTTGTCTTCTCGGAGGCGAATGCAATCATTGCAAATTATTTATTTTGATGTAAGTGGATTTTCCAATTTGAAAGTTATAGTTTTTTGATGGAGAAATCAGAAAGCTGCTGAAGAAAGCATTTATATCATCTTATTTTCCTTTTTCTCATGCAAGATGTATCAAGGTTCCCAATTTTCAGTTTTACAGGCCTTCATGAGCATGTAATTTTATTTTAATTCAATGGAAATCTTTGGTAGGGTTTTTTCGACACTGCTAATTATCCAAGGAAATAAAACTTGAGAGTAAAACCTCCTCTATGAATCCATCTTCTTGCATCAATGGCAATTGTTAATTTGTGAGTACAACATAAATGTTTGATCCTTCAATCTGCTACTTGAATGCTTATTATCAAAAACATAAAATAAAAATCTGCCACTTGAATGCTCGTATTAGCAATAGGCAGAAACAGTTAGAATCTCAGCGCAACCGACATGCCTTTCCCTTGCATAATTCTATTCTGTTGCAACCAATGTTTGCAAAATTGGGCGGTTCAAATTGGATTTTAAACCACCTTGTTAGATTGGAACTTGTCAGTTCTGGTTTTGGTGATCTGGCCTGATATTAAAAAAATTGTATATATATGTATATATATATATATATTAGATCCCAAAAAACTGGTTTTGGTGATCTGGCCTGATATTAACAAATCTCTCTCTCTCTCTCTCTCTATATATATATATATATATCTATATATATATATATATATATATATTATTTTTTTTTAAGTTTTATTACTATTTTGGCAAAGATTGGATACTGTTTGGCATGATACTTATTTTTACATTTTTCCATCTTTTTTTTTAGAAAATTTAAAAAATACCCCTTGGCACAAATCGACTTTTTAAAATCCATTTTTTTCCACTACTTTTCAACTTCATTTGAATGTGCTTTGTTTAATCATGGTTTAAATATACTTATATTTCTTAGATTTTTTGATTTTTTTAACATTTTTTTGACCGATCGGTTTACCGGTTACCCGGTACTGGCCCTTGAACGGTTTATGAGGCCGGTTCAATTTTTCGAATATTAGTTGCAGCTTGCACCATGAGGGCTCATAATTCTTGCTTCTGCATTGTCAGTTAATGGTAGATGTAGTTGGATTATCATATTCCTATGAGCTTGAACCCGAAATGTCCTGTTTTATGTACCACATCTGGATAATTCTTTTCCCACTTTGTTGTGAACTTCTAGAATGGGAACGTCTTGATTACTCACTGATCAAGGAAAAGCACGAAGTTTTTTGGTTCTTGGATGGAATTATGAATTCATTTTTGCCTTCTGGTGATAAGGATCATGCCCCTGCTAATGATAATTGCATCATGATAGTAAATTCCACTTCATTGAAACCATTTAACCTGTGAAGCCTTTGGTGTTGGCTTGATTGGTCACAGTGATTGCTGTTTGCAGTTTTTGAGTACCATCTCTGAACTTAGGGGTGGAAATGGACCCGGAGCCGACCTGGGACCCGATGGGTAGACCTGATCCAGGTCCGGGTATGGGTCAAAAAATTGGACCCTGCTGGTCAGGTCCGGGTGTGGGTCTGGTAATATTTTTTGGGTCCCAATATTGAAAAATATATTTAATATGGTTAAATAAATAGATATTTTAGTTTTTGGGTTGGGTCAAAGTCCCACACTATATTTTCGGGTCTGGGTTTGGGGAATTCTGTTTCAGTCGGTTCTGGTCTGGGTCCCATGTCATTTTTTTGGTGTTCGGACCCGGACCTGACGCATCCCATTGCCACCCTATTGAACTGCCCTGGAAAAAACTTCATGAACACCTCTCCTCAATTCCTTTATTTGGGGCTTCATATTTTATATGAGTACTTGTGGAGTCTATTTCTATTGACCTTTTTCAATTCAAAGAAAAATGACTTTTATATTTGAATTTCAATTTGTCAATAAAATATCATTGTTTTTCTTTTTTTGATAAAACGGCACGAAGTTTCATTAGATAGAGGAACAAAGCTCCAAAATTACACACAGGAGCAAAGATCCAAAATTACGATGAGGAGCAAAACTCCAAAACACCAGAAAAAAACAGAGGAAGAAATAGAAAAGAACTTTCCATTTCAAGAGGAACCGACTCAACTGCCCAACACTACAAACCTAAACCTCGACAGCACAAACAAAACACAAGCTTTCTAAGCCCAATTAGATCATTCCAAGAGCTATCCAAGACAACCACCTCAAACCTTGCCAACCCATCGTCTCCGAAACCACGCATTCGCATGTCCCATATGCAGAAGGCTCAAGGGCCAGGGTTTGGATGGTGCACATGCAACTCTGAATCGGGACCCAACACGGTGGCGATGAGAAGGATGGCAGCAGCTCGTAATCAACGAGCAAAAATAGGGCAAAAGATTGTAAGAAAGGAAAGGGATAAAGGGAAGAGAGGGAGGAAGTCAAGAGAGAGTCATGGAAATGCGAAGAGGGAACAAAGAAAAACAGGGTGAAGAAGTCTTGCTCAAACATCCCCCAAAAATGCATTTGAGGAATTCAAGGTCCATAAAGGATCTAAAAAACCACAATAGGTCTCGTATGGGCTGGCTAAACGCCAAGTCCCAAATTAGGTACTAACTTAGGCCTTCAGATACAATGGTCTTCAAGACCCTTGAAGCAATAGCCCAAGTCTAAAGAGATATTGTCTTGAACATTAACCCATTGGGAAGAAGAGAGACAAGGAAAGGAAAGAAATACAATGGTCTTCAAAAACCTTGAAGCAATAGCCCAAGTCTAAAGAGACCGACGACAGGATAGAGATATTGTCTTGAGCGTTAACCACCCATTGGGAAGAAGAGAGACAAGGAAAGGAAAGAAGGCCGACGTGGGAGAGGATGGAGAAGAAAAGGGTGGAAAGATGGAAGAGGTGGATAAAAGAGACGATCAACTGGTGGAAGGAAGGGGAGGGCGAGGGCCCCTTCGAGAGAGACACGGAGATCGCAAAATAGAACCGACAAGAGAACGAGGAGGAGCCGTCTGAGATCGTTGGTTGCAGGCCACCCGACACCACTGCTACTGCGGTGGTTCGCTGCTGCTAATAAAAATAAAATAAAATAAAAATCATGTTAGTCATTATATTGGAGAAGATTAAATGAGCCAATGAGGCTATGCTACAATATATGCCCATCGACTGAAAAGCATTGCCAAAGTGATTCTTTTGGTCCGAAATTATTTTGTATATATTTTATTTTAAAAATAACAATTTAAGAAAGCAGCCGGTTTTGAGTTTGTGAAGGCCAAGATCCTCCAACTATCAAAAGGACGACTTGCGTTTAACAAATGACCGACTCATTTCTCCCCATTTTTTTATTCTCATTTCATTCTTTTTATTGATTTCCTAGACGAAACCTAAATTTATGCAAAGTTTTTTACGACTTTTTTGCAACCATCATGTTACAATCATATATTTTCTTCAATAAAATTAGGGAGATTTTGAATTTATAGAGTTTGTATCTTGCTGCTGGACAAATGTAGGATATGGGAGACAATTGTTGAGATCCATTGGTAGAGATGAATACATCACTATCTTCATCAGAGCTCTTTTCCAATTAATTGGGAGTGACCACATAAATCCTGATGTACCATTCTGCTATATTAAAGGTCATACCCTCAATGAAGCCGTAAGTCATTATGTATGTTTTCACTACTTCCAACCATCTCCTTTTTAGGCTTACCCATTGTTGTTTTTAGCCTTCTACTTGAACTAACTTCTTGCCTTGTAGATTTTGTTGATTGATTCAATTAAATTGGTGAAAACACTAAAGGCTACTCTATGATTCCCGCACTTTTTTCACTCTAAGGCACACCTCCAAACCCTATTGAAAGATGAAGTTTCACTATTGGAAATACCTATGATGACTTGAAATTTTATTTTCACCCCCTAATTATGAAACTTAAAAGTTCTTAAAATGATACAAATTTGTAAACTCTTAATCTTGAAAATGAACATGTTAGATAATGTAATATAAGATGCACTAATTTGGGACTTGAAGTCTTTCTTTTTATATCCATACATCGAGGTCAATATGATCAATTGGAGATTTTTTTAGTATCGGAGCGACTTTTTTCAAGGGGTTCTTAACTTGTGCCTTGCTGTTATAATATAAGGTGGACACTATATAATTTTTTTGTAGAAATTCAACTATGAGCTTCGTATCACTGTAGCATTTTTAGTTCTCAAACTAGAACTTCTAGCGAAATTTCTAATTGCCAAACACCTCCTAAAAGAAATTAATTGTACAACAGTGTTTCACCCGCAGCTCATTCCTATCATTTCGATAGGGTTTGTAGTTTTTGCTCTCTCCCTCCATTTGTTTCGTTTTGTGCACCCCTCTTTCACCTGTTCTCTCTCTACACCTTTTCCATTTTGTTACCTTTTGTATTGTCGTTATTTTTTATCTATTTTTTACTTTGGGATTGTATACAATGAGACCATTTACCTTTAAAATAGAGATGTCATAATTATTTATTACCATTTAATGTGAAATCTGATAGTTTGAGTGTATCATAAAGTTTGAAAAAATTTATTTTAAACTTTGAGCTTGGTCAATGAAATAAATGTAGCTACCCAATTTCACATATAATGGTCAAGATTAATTGTGACCACCTTAAACCAAAGGTAAATGATCTCATTATATACTTTCCCTATTACTTTATTAGCCTTTTATAGTTGGAGAGAGTGTATTCTCTTGCCTTCTTTCCTTCTTGGACCAGATGTTGTGTACGTGTGCAGGGGAGGGTCATTCTGTATCTCTCATTGTTTTTTAATTTTGTTTTCCATCTCTTTTGACTTGGCCCCCTCTCACCCCTCGTCCATGACCTGCTTCTTGGCTTGCGACCTTCCTCCCTCTTCCCCGACTCTCAACTCCCCAAGACAGGTTAACCCTTAAGATGGGGTTTTATCCTCCTTGGAGTAAGGCACCCTATCAAGGAGTATCTGGTGCCAACAGGAGTCTCCTGTGCCTATTGGGTTCTCCTCTGGGTCTAGAAGTCCCATGTATTGTACCACACTGGGTTAATACCTAAGATGGGGAGTAGCTTGATAGTGGGCCTTGGTGAGCCGAGGCGAACCTTTGGAGCTTTAATCTCCTTAGTGTGGTATGATACGGTTACTTAGTAGGTTGGCTCCTTGGTCCCCGCTTCTTGGTTTGCTTCTTTGCTGGCTGCCAGTCTACACTATGACACTGCCAAGCTCTTAATGTTCTCCTTATTGGGCATTGTCAAATTAGTGTAGGTTGGTTCACAGGCACAACCCTGGCTCGAGAGGTTATTGTAGATGGGATGAAGCTTATTAAGGGTCAATGGTGTGAGTTTTGGTTCGAGTGGTGGAGGCCATTGAGCTCGAGATTTGGGGAAACAGTTGCTAATTGGTGTCTTTTTAGATTGCGATGTAGGGACCATCACGGGTTAGGGATGTTTTGTTTTGTTAAGTTTAGGAGGGTCATCTTTGGAAGTAAAGGCTTGCATCCCTCTATTTCTTCCTCTACTTATATTTAATGAAGTATATTTAATGAAGGATGGGGTTTATATGAGGCGGCCAAACTCATTTGCATGTGACACCACTAAATTTAATTTTAGATGTTTTTATTTTTTATTTATTTTTTTATGTAGATTCATCATCTAGGCCAGGATGATCATAAATATGAAAAAAAATGAATTTTTAAAATATTTAAAATATAATTTTTTAAATATTTTTTTACGCACCGTCCATATCTTATTTATGGACAATACACTCTGTATAACGTCCAATGGGCGTTTGTAAGTCGGGCTCTTGCACCTGCTAACTCATGAAACAACCTTCCTTTAATAAAAATAAGGGTTAACATTCAACCTAAAAAACAGAAGCATTGTATAAACCCCACTGTTGAAGTGTGAAAAATGGTAAATGCAACTATACCATTTTCGGACTTTTTTGTTGTTTTGGAAGCGTGAGATACATATTCATGCATTTTTATTGTTATTTTTGAAATCGGATCTAGATGAAATTTGGAGGGTGCATGTGCTCATTTGGAGCACATTTGGGTGCATATTTAAAAATGTATTGCATTTCTAAGTGCAGTTCAATCTTCAAATTTCATATAATATAGGGAAATTAATATAAATACCCCTTTTTATTTTAGGAATTAAAATGTGATCCCTACTTCTCATATTTTACATGGGGTTATTTTTTTCACTGATTTTTATTTTTCCCTAGAATATCCCTAATGTAATCCCTACCAACCACATCTGAAACATTTTATTTGAGAACTCGATCTACTTGAAGTGCCATGCCAATTTCTTCACAGAAATATAAAGATATTTTTGCAATTTGTTTTTACCAAAAATCAGTCTAACACTCGATGATTATTGGATTGTTTCTAAAAGATCAAGCGATGGACCAACTCAAACCATAAAAAAAACGATGTTTTTTTTTGGGTAATTAAAAAAAACGAAAAGAGATAGTGATCTAGAAAAGATATGAGAGGTGGCAGATTGATATTGTGCAATCACCACCCTTCATCTCTCTGACCCCCCTCCATAAAAAAAACGATGTTTTTTTTTTGGGTAATTAAAAAAAACGAAAAGCGATAGTGATCTAGCAAAGATATGAGAGGTGGCAGATTGATATTTCGCAATCACCACCCTTCATCTCTCTGCCTTATATAAAGGGAAAACTCTATATAGAGCCGAGGCTCAAAACAATGAAATTTGAGCCTACATCAAAAAATTTACTAGAAGAGGTTGTTTTGATGTCCAAATATCATCAAATTGATCATCTCAACATCAAGATACATGGACATCAGAAAAAAAATGGATTTTAAGTTTTGAAAACAATGTATTTTGTAATGCATTTTTTAACCATTAATTTTCAAGATTATCAAGTTTTCATAGATTTGTCGTTCTACACTATTTTTGAAGCTTTAAACTTTATAAATAAAGATGAAAATTTATTTTAAACCTATCACAAAGATTTCCAGTATTGAAACCACATGTTTCGACACCATTTGAAAGCAGGCTCTAATTTGATTGTTTAGAGCCTAGGGTCTATACAAGCTGCACCATTTACTAAAAATTGAAGTGTTTTTTGTGATTTTCACTGAAGAAACAAGGGCAAAATGATTTTTGTAATTTTTCATACTAATTTCATGATACTAATTGTGATTTTTTGATACTAATTTTGTTTTATTTTTATTTTTGTGATTTTGGAGTGGTAAGAAGAGATGAGGCGTGGAAGATGTGCAATTGAGGGCCAGAGAGAGAGAGAGAGACGGCCTTGAAGTGGAGGAGAGAGGAAGAACTAGAGGCCAAAGCCAAAGAGGGACCATCCAAAAGGCTTAGAAATTGGCCCATCACATCAGGAGGGAGGGCAGAGGAAGAAGAATATAATGTCAATTTTAGGTTTTGGGGTTAAGCTCTTAAATTTTAGAGGCAGAAAGTAGAAGAGGGTGCATGTTTCTTCAAGCATAGTTGTATACATTTCATTTTTTTTAACACCTTGGTTTGAAGGGTGTTTACAATTTAAATTTAGCATTTATTTATGAATAAGAAACTTTTTTGTCTCTTTTGAAAAAAACGCACAAGTATGAGAAACAGAGAGTAGGGTTCCTATCTTTAGATAATTATAGAGGCATATGGGTGGTGCTATCCACCAATGTTTTTATACCTTTTTTTTTAGGTAGTTCAATGTGGAAGGAATTCCCTACCTGTGGTAGGAATAGAACCCTTATTTAATTTTACAACTGATGACTTCAAGTGTTTCCCAAGACTATATAACCTTTATCCAATTTTACATCTGATGACTTTGGGTGCTTGTGACCTTGCATACAAAAGCCAACAATCCCCTTGTCACAATCCCAAATTGGAATTTGAAACTTATATTAGAAACATCCCTTTGTGATAATCCCAATTTGGAATACCAAACTTCTTTTGGAGAATTGCCCAAATTTTTGAAGGTCTACTTAGACAACATTTGAAATATTTGACATCTTGACCAAGAAACAGTCAGATATGATCAGTTGATTTCATAAGTGACCATGACTAAGATTAAAGATTAACAACTCTCTGTTTCTGTCCAAAAAGCCTTTGTTTGTAGGAGTTTTGAAAAAGATAGAACATAAATATGGTTAACCAATGGATGAGAAGGTTCAGTAATGTATTAAATAAGCACACAATATACTTGCTTCATTAGGCAAAAAAGCTAATCAAGAGACTGTGATACACAATTTGAGTCCACCAGAGAATTCCCAGACAAGTATTTTCAAAAAATAAAGTCTGAACTTCGAGTTATTACTTAGATCTGACCACTTAAAATTCTAATTCAACCTTAGAGCATTATTTTTTACAGAACACATGTAGAGAGCGTAGAATTTTGATTTTTCTATTCTCTTTCCGAGGTTGGCTTCTGCTGAGGAGGCTACATCCCCAAAATCTGGGATCCTAATGAATTTCAATTTAAACCCAGTACTTTTTTAAATCAACTTGGCCATACGAACCATTTGGTGTAATCCTCACAAGATTCTAAGCATTGCATTCCAAGATTTCTCAAAGGAAGTTCAAGGTTTATACATCCTAATTTCTCTCTCTCTCTCTGATTTACCACAACAAGCTGAGAAATGACTAAAAAATTCTCACATTCCTATTGAAAGACAATCTAGTGAGAAATTATTCTGGTGTAAGAAGAATAGAAACCATAGCAAAGGAATTGAGCCCCCAAAATGAGCCAGAATTGTATATAGCTAATATCTAGGGTTTTCCCCAAAATGAGCCAGAATTGTATCTAGCTAACATCTAGGGTTTTATCGGGTAACAATACCATCAAGCAAACTCCATATGCTTACATTATGCATAACATTAAGGACCATAAGAACCCATGGGATAAGAAATTAAAAAGGCTCACCTGACTTATCAGCACTAAAAGTTGGAAGTATCCATAACAACCTCTATCATACCTTTGGAAGAATAGTACAAGGCTCTGAAGGTATAGGAGACTTGGCCTACAGAAAACAATCAAAAGACTCCAGGAATGATTAAGTCATACTTGAAGTGAGAAATACAAATGTACATGTATGCGTGTAAAATATTCAATATATGTTATAAAAAGAAGGGAAAGTATATAGTAAGACCGTAGTACAAAAATGACACAATCATCCTAACTGTCAGATGAGAAACTCGTAATATTTACTGTGCTTGAAGTCTGAACAAATTTTCCTTGGACTTTGTGCAGATATGTGATAGACCCAAGCATCCTATTTTACACCTGATGGCTTGGGGTGTGTCACCTTTGTGTATGAAAGGCAACAGTCTCTTTGCACACAATTTCTAAAAGTAAAACATACATCAAGATCCATAAATAGAATGGCTACAATGCCATGCATTATCTGCCACAAGAGTTAAGTGCACCCACTTCATATGATACAAAATTTTGATGCATGAGGACTCGAGATGGACGCACACCCCTTTTCTGTACTTTGAGACATAGGTAAAACAACCAACAAGGAATACTACATTCATATATCATAATGCATTAAATGTAATACACTCCTTTTGGGTGTTTCTTCTTTGAGATAATCTAAACAGTTTCCTCCAATGGCGCTACAAAAATCAAAGGAGGACAAGAGAACTAAGCTAATAATGTGTGCGCGCCCCAATTATTACTTTTTTTTTCTTCTCAAGAACATTGCTGTTGTCATTCTCTTTTCTTTACATGCAACGTGGATTGTAATCATGTACCATACAGCTGTTTAAGCAATAATGACAAATTGTTTAGCAAGTTTGTGATTTTCTACTTCATATGTTGAAGGCAACATCTTAGCATACCTCCAAGTATTTTGTTAACATTGTTGTAGTGCTGTAATTAAACCCCTCAACTGGTTCACCCTTTGTTCGTGACAAGTTCAGTTGCTTTCTTACTTGAGAAGCCAACGACTACATAAAGAAGATAAAATAAAAATTTCTTTAGCTTGGAGTGTTGAAGATGAGAAGAATTTGAACAATAAAAAGGGGAGAGAAGAAAGAGGAGAAACTCTTAGTGACATGTATACCTTGCCTAACTCCACTCCCCATTGGTCAAAAGAGTTGATCCCCCATGTGAAACCTTCGACTGCAACTCTATGTTCATAAATTGCTAGTAGCTACATAAATAACAATAGTATTACCAAAAGGGAAGTTAGAAGATGAAGTTGAACAAGAGGAGATTCAAATCTTGAGCAACACATGCACTTGCATCTACACATGCACAAACATGCACACATTCAGGATGCATGCAAAAGTGCTTGCGTTCGATGCAAAAGGTGCTTCACAAAATCACGATCGACTACAAAAAGAACGGCATCACAATTGGTCTCTCTTTCTTTGAACCTTTTAATGACAATATACATATTATTCTATTGTGAAAAGAAATAGTTCAGTCTTCAGTACGTTGCATTTAGACTGTGATGCTGCTTTGTACGATTAATTTCTCTAGATCCAGGTTACTTCACCCCAAATTGAATAAAGGTGTTGGAATTGGTAAGGCTGGTGAGGCCTTATCTATCTATCCACACGCATCCACATGCATGCTCACGCATGTGCACAGCAAGAACACACACACAAAACATATGTAGAACAATACATGGCTTTCAATACTCTAGTACATCTTTGAAAAATTCATACAATCCAACTGTAATGGAGTAGTATATATTTCTTCTTAAGTACGATAATGTTTAATTGAGAAGTTCAAATGATTATATTAAGAAATTTCAGACAAATACACAAATCAGAGTCCTTGATGTCTGCCAAAAAGAGTGAACTAACAATAAAGGAAAGCAAAACCAAATACGAATACAGAAATACTATGTATACCTGTCCGATATTATAAGCATTTAGAGAAGGGAGTAGGAGGCATATAGAGGGCCGATTCCCTGAGAAAGTCTGTAGCATGCCACAAGAAAAACCAAGGAATAAACATCTTTCAACAAATTGTTGCCCATGATTTACAATGTCATCACAAGCTTACTCACCTTGTGACGAATAAGATGGTCAGGAACTTTCTCACTTAGCAACTGTTCTGGAGTCTGCCAATTTTCAAAAGCTCATTTAGAACTTCTCGTTACTAAATTCAATAAGCCTGACATGGATTATAGAAAGTAAGGCATCTTCTGTACCTTTCCATAAGCAAGAGCATCTGGCTGTGCAAAAAAATTAGACATGAGCTCATCATGATTACTCACCACTTCCCCTGCAAACAAGAAATCAATGACATAATGTTTGAAAAAGGAGCCAAAAAAAAAAAAAGGCACGAAGAAATATCATCTGAAACATGCTAAATGGGTTTTTAATGTTAGAACTTGTACTGCAAAAAGATGTACATACCCTTCAGGTATACAGGCTGTTGGCTCTTCATGACACCAATGAAATCACAAGGAATCACCCGTCCCTGCAAGATCAGAAAAATCTTTATCATTAATTCCCACCTAATGAAGGCTAGAAGCATTTTCAGATAAATGCAAGACAAAAGGATGTCCATTTCCTGAAAACCATGGAGAAAAACATATTTTAGAATAGATCAGGATAAGGAACATTAACCAACACAAATTGCATGACAAGTATTTGGAATCAAAATCCATGACCAACTGAAGTTGTCTCATATCAATCTTTACTCGCTAAAGTTTCTGTAATTGCAATCAGGATGCATGTAGGTTGCAAGAAACAGGTCTCAAACATGCAACTGCAGTGGCAGAGAGAAGATGAGCAGCCTGAGCTACACGACACAGGAAAAAGAAAAAACTAGAGTTCCCAAGTCAATTATTAAATAAGAAATGCTGGACAATGCCAACATGAAAATCAAAGTCTACAAGGCCTACGATATAATAGACATTATGAAGGGCATAGATGTCCTTATACAGGGATATCCAATTGTTAATATTTTTTTCATGGCAGTAAGTGGACACCAACTTCACGATCCAAACTCGAAGTCTCTGGTAACATTTACATCAGATGAGACTAGTCAAGAAATTCAAAAGTCAAACAGCAATTCATGGATAAGTATCTGGAACACAAATGAAACTAAGCACACCAAGGAAACGGGAAATTTGATCTAAAATCTATGTACATTTGATGGAAAGATCGGCTAAGAGTCGACATTGACCTGTGTAAAGAGAAGCTTCGACACAAATAAATTACATCCGTAAACTTGTTAACTTGCTTTTAAAAATATATCAATGAACCGTATGCATATGAAGTCGCCATGTAAAGGTAATTTTGTCATCATAAAATTGAAGATATACCAATATACCTGGTGGATAAGCTGATAAAAGCTATGCTGGCCATTTGTGCCAGGTTCGCCAAAATCGATTTCACCAGCCTCAAATGGAAGTGGGACCCCATCAATTGATACGCTCTTCCCATTACTCTCCATGCTGACCTGTAATAAATAGAATAATAATAATAACGACCAGTAAATTATTTGAACAGAAACAAAGCATATACTTTTGACACATGCTAAGCATGAATACATGCCTGTTGAATATGTGGAGAAAACTTCTCTAGCGCCTGGGAATAAGGTAAAATTGCCTGTTTCCATAGAATGCGAGGACAACTAAGTATAACACAGAGTTCAAAGTTCGAATATGTGAATGATGAACTGTAACGCATGGCCTTTAAACAATGATGGTGGATACTCACCCTTGCAGGATAATTGAGAAAGGAAACATTCCATACACTCAAAAGACCTAAAAGCACCTGTAGCTCAAGAGATTATGATGGATATTTGACCACAAAAAGTGCTATATACATAAAACCATATGAAAATAAATGACAAAAAAGGCTTACAGGGATGTTCTCCTTAAATGCTGTGGAATAGAAATGCTGATCAATGGAGGAAGCACCATTCAAAAACCTTTAGCAGAGAGGTCAACAACAAATAAGTGTCAATTTATGAATAGAGCTATGCTATTCTTGAACTCCTTAAATATGGAGTTATACATCATAAATTGAAACCTCAAAAATAACCATGCTTGGTAGTAAGAGTATGTTTGGATGTACTTATTATCACTGATAATTCACTATTTCAATAAAATTAATCATGATAATAAATTATCTGTTGTTTGGAAGTGTCTATCATAAAGTTACATGTGATAAACTTATAGGCAGTTTTACACATAAGTTTATCTTTTTGAAAAGCTTTTTTTGTTTTGTTCAAAGTCATCATCATCATTTTAGCCTTTTCCCAATTAATTAGGGTCGGCTTTGTCTTGTTCAAAGTAATTTGCTAAAAATCACATATTTTTTGCCAAAAATGGCTAAAAACACCTGAAATCGCTGACAAATCAATAATTATATATTATTATATGTAGTATAAGATATGTACCGAAGATCTAACAAAATATTATTATGCAGAGTATATTAATATCGGATAAGACAGTATATTCCAGATAAATTAAATGTCATCCAAATAAGGGCTGAACATACATTGTAAAAAATAGATTATATGCACAAGGACAAAAATAACAAGAATAAATTGTTGTATCCAATTTTTAAGGTTAAAGAATAATAATCTACTACATTGTGCCTCCCACAAGAAGACATGGTTTGAGTTGATAGTGGCCTACCCAACACAACCATCTTTTGAGCATGGCATCGAAGAAATATCATAACATAGAAGGCCTAGCCCCTTAGGCTTCGGCTCAGTGCCAGAATATCAGTTTGGGGGAGAGAGGTTAAGGGTTCGAATCCTTGAAGTTTGTCTCAAGAAGCCCAAACAAGCTGACCTATCCTTTTGTCATTATGTAGAACCCGTATTAGGAAGCAAAGGTGTCTGATCTGAATGGAAGGTCCAAATATTGGAGATGAAGCAACTATTAATAAAAAACAGATTGAGTCTGCAATACACACGTAGCATGTACGCTTGCACAAAAAAAGATTAACAGGATCTAATAGAAATGGACTATGAATCATGTGACACACCTAATGGTTATCCAGTGATTCTCAAATACCCAAAATCCTGAGCCGTTTCTTTTAATGGAATATTAATACAATTCTTAAATTTCGTGTCAATATTCATTTAAAATCTAAAAAATTACTTCAGGTGGAACAAGAAAATCACAGGACCTCATCTAAAGGTGCTTGACCAACAACCCCTGAGCTCCCTAAATAGTGTCAATCAAATTATTTGTTTCCATAAGCAGTTCACTGCTACAGGAAAGAAATAAATACAATAAACCACAGACCCTCTTTGAAAAATTAGTTAAGAATACAATAAACCATAGCCCCTCTTTGAAAAATTAGTTAGTAACAAGATTATAAAATAAAAAAAAGTGGCAACAAATAAGCAAGTGCTTTCTCATCAAATTGAATGTTTCTTGCTGGCTTCAACTTTATCCTATATCGTCCATGATATATGGCTGGGTGTGACAACCACCAGATTCTCTCATGGTATTCTTGTGAGAGCTACAATATATAGAAAGGAATATATAAAAAACATATACGTGATTAGTACTGTATTGACTTCTCTATCATCATCCTAATCATCATCACGAGCCTTATCCCAACTATTTAAGGTCGGCTACATGAATTGTGTTCCGCGATTCCACTTTATTAAGGGCCATACCCTCAATCAGACCATAAGTCCCCATATCTTTTCGCACTACTTCCATTCATGTCCTTTGGGCCTTCCCCTTGCCCTTTAGAGCCCTCCAACTTGAACCAAATCACCCCTCCTTACTAAAGTTGTTCTAGGTTGACGCTGCATATCACCAAACCACCAAAGTTTATTTGCCCTCATCTTATCGCCTATTGGAGCTCACCCTAAGTTTCGGTGAATGTATTAATTCTGAATTCCAACTTTCTTTGTCTTGACATTTATCCATCTCAACATCCTCATCTCAGCTATACACATTCTATGGATATGTTGTTTCTTGATTGCTGAACATTCAGTCACATAAAACAGGGCTGGTCTTACAACCGTCCTATAGAATTTCCACTTTAGTTTCATTGGTATGCAACAATCATAAGACTCCAAAAGCACATCTCTACTTCATCCACTAAGTTCTAATTCTATGAGCATCTATCTTCCTCAATCACTCATTTCTCATGAATTATCGATCCAAGATATCAAAAATAATCTCTTTTAGGTACTTTTTGGCCATCAATCTTAACTAATTCCCCGTTTCTACTCCTATCATTACCAAACTTGCATCCCACATATTTTGTTTTAGTCCCGCTAATTTTAAAACATTTAAATTCTAAAGCATCCCTCAAAAGTTCTAACTTTGTGTTAACGTTGTCTCTAGTCTCGTCAATCAAAACTACGTCATTTGCAAACAACATACACCACAGGACCACATCTTGAAGATGCCTAGTCAACTTGTCCATAACAAAATATGAGATATGACCTCAACATTGACCTCCTGATTGTAGGCCTATTGTCACTAAAAACCCACTTGTCTCTCCAGTAGTTGTCATCACATTAGTTAGTGCTCCCTAGTACATATCCCTAACCATGTCATTTTAAATCATTCCAATATAGCCAATGAAAGCACACTTCATTTCTCTTTGGAGTCTACTTGTTAAGCAACATACTGGAACGAGGAGATTCTGGAACTAGAACACAAGTTGAGTATTGAAGGAATTTAGTTTTTTTAATGAATAAGAATTGAAGGATGCATAAATAATATGGTCTAAGCCCATAACCTTATGTTCATGGTTACCAAAAATCTTCAATTAAGTGATATTTCTTCTTTCTACATTCCACTTTGTAGCCTTCTAGAACTATCTCAGCAATATCATTTCTTGGAGCACTCACAATTTAAGAATAATTTTACTTTTTCAAGGGAAGTGATTCAAGCCAGAGAAAATCTCACAGTATGCATTAAAAATACATTCCTTAACATCATGTAATTCAAGCCAGAGAAAATCTCAATGATTTTTAAAAATAAGATTTTTACACCTTCATGACCCCACAGTAATATGATTTAGCCAAAAATGAAAAATGGAGGATTAGTTATATTTTCTCTTTGGTGTTGCATGCCCAATATCATATTTATGTCCATTAGTGATCCCCAGGTAAATTAATAATCAATATCCCAACAAATCATGCCTACTGAACTGCTCAGTAGGAATTTGATATAATTACCCAATGGAATAAGAAATCTTACATACTTTTGAATAATAGAGAAACCGTACTGCAATGACAAAGGAAGCACGCCAACGGCACTGCAAACTGCCATAATATGCCACATGCAGTGACTATCAGTCAATAAACATCAGAGATTGTGACACTATCCAAATATCATACTCAAAAAGTTCACTGCTAACTAGACTTACCACTATAGCGACCTCCAACCCAATCCCAAAACGCAAAAGCATTGTCAGGGTTGATCCCGAACTTCTCCACAAGCTGAAACATAATAAGATGGTGACAAGCAAATATTCAGTAACATTATAATAGCCAATATATAAACAGGCAACCATTCCAGGTTGTGCATTTATACAGTTTCACTAGTCATGATTGATGAATTGATGACCTTGGAGATAAAGACTCGTACCAAAAGGCCCAAATCCAAGCATGGTAACAAAGAAAAGACACGTAAAATTATGATGAATTTTTACCATAATCACTCACACAAAAGTTCTGAGTATGGACAATGACCCCCATAAGGCATGCTGCAAATGTATCAAGGTCACTTCTCCAAATCCCTTTAATCATTTATATTGGCTTCTTCTGACAAATATTCTTTCCCTTCAGTAAACCTTCTATATTATCAATCCAACTCCACCATGCACCTTCAACTTGTAGGGACAAAGAAGGAAAAGGGTAGCGCAAGCACAGTTTCTATGGTTTCCTCTTTGAGGCTCTGCCTCAGCCCTTCGTCCCTCATCATTCTAATTATCTATTTTTTTCAAATTGCCACGAGAGCTGATGCATTACATGCATCAATAAGCTAGGATAAGGAATCCCAATAGTTGGCATTCAATTCCCTTTGTTTCAAAACAATCCATGTCGCTGCTCTTTACAATTTACAAAATTATTGACCCAATTTTTTGGTACACCCTTAACCTAAGTCATCTGGTTCATCATCAAGATGGTGAGTATACACATATATTTCACAATAGTATTAACTTCATGGATAGATAGTCCACCATCTGATTAGGAATATCAAATAGTACACCAGAGAACTTTTCTAGACTTGTAATCCGAAAAGTCAATATACTTTTGTGTTAACAAAACAGGCGAAGTTAAATTTAAACAATCAAAGGCCTGAACAAAATCCAAAATTATGCACGAATAGATATGTTCAGAAATGATACAAAAGCAAATATGCAGGAAATGACAATTCAAAATATCATGCATGGACTAAATATTGATATGAAACCAGCCAAGGGAACAAGGGGGACATTTGTAACTACAAGAATCATGAGAATGAATAAACCACGTACAAACACAGGCACAAAACAAGAAAGCAAGATAGTAAAATGGAATTGAAAGTAGTACCGTGAGGTTAGTACTGACTGCTACCATATGCTTTGCAACTGCTTTGGGCCTGCAGTCAGTTGAGCAAAAGCTAATTAGAAATGCCCGTGAAAACAAACAATGATCCAGAGCAATATCTGCAACAAAACCACAATCTCACCCAAGAGCCGATACAATCCATTCCCTCAAAGTTCGAGCATTCAACATTGTTTCAGCTGTAGTAAAAGTCTTTGAAACCACGACAACTGTAGATCTCCAGAAAAAGAGAGATGTTAAAAAAAAAAAAATAGTAACAATTCGTTGATGTAAATATGGAACATTGGAAGCATAAAAAGATAGAAATCCATCCACCTACCCAATGTAGTTTCAGGGTTCAGTCCAGTGATATTTCGAGCAACGTCAATTGGATCAACATTTGCAAGACTAAGAAAGGCAATAAGTTAGAACCCCAGAACCTAAAATTTAGCAACGTATTATACTGAGCGAAGCTGCAAAAACTCAACTCATAAGTGATGGCCATAAACGAACAAGCTTAAATTAGAAAAGCATAGTTCGGGTTATAAATGCTAATGCTCCTTTGTATCATCACATGTTTTTGCCTTAAGACATTAAAGAGTTATTGATCCTATGTCTCAAATGGAATTGCAATTATGAACTTACAAGCGAAGCTGTCGACCTTTTGCACATTTTGCAGCCTCTGGATCTGCAAAGATTTTGTATTCGAGTGCAGAATTACACACTGAAACTCCAATCACATGCTCAAAAAGTATTTGTAACAATAGGAAAATCAAAATACAACTAGACCAGCCCTAAGATGGGCTAATTTATTTATTAACAGAAAGAAAAAAGGCATGTTTAATCTTTAGCTAACTAGTTATCTCTCAATGCTTTGTTTATCACATTTGGAAAAGGAAATGGGCCACCATCAGGCAGACTATCACAGTACCACCCTAGTTGAATACCATTGCTATAAATGTTAGGGATGTGTGTTACTCATCCAGCAACAAAACCCCCCATGCAAACGCTAACATACACACACAAGCTCATGCACACACACACGCAAAAAAAAAAAATGCCATTCTTACAAAATGCCACCCACCCAATAATGAACACAGACTGTCCATTTTTTGGATGGTCAGATATGGGTCACAAAGGTCAAAATCACTTTTTTTTTGAAAGTGAGTTTTTTTAAATCCTTTTATGCTGTACTCGCTTTTTGGCTCAAAGTTCTATCAGCATATGCCCATTTGAGCTACCAGAGTTTGCGGGACCCTAAATTTTGCACACATGTTGATCTCAACTAGTCGAACAAAATAAAAAGTAAAGCAAAGAAAAAAAATTTGAACTTGCGCAAAAATGGTCCACCATATTCAGCGTATGCAGACTGTCCCTTTGATGGATGGTGGGTCTTGCCATTCAAGAATTCAAAATGACAGCTTTTTTTCTTTTTCTTTTTTTCAATTGCCTCTTTCTAGCATCAAAGATATTCAGCAAAATTTTCAGAAAAGATCCCACCAGCTATATGTTAAGTCAACAGCCTCACATTGTAGTATAAGCCTGTTAATCTTCTTCCTACATCCGTAAGTGCGTTTGTGTGTGTCTTGAAAGCAAAATCAGTACCTGTTTGAAGAGCAGTGTGCACAAATAAAGGACCTAAGAAACTGCCACCAATACCAACAGAAACAACATCTGTTAATGGTTTTCCTGTCACTCCGACCTGCAAATATATATGTAAGAGAGCCTACACCAAATAATATCATAAATCAAATGAGGTTGAAAGATTGTGCGCGTCGTACCCAAGAACCGCTTCGAACCCTTTCAGTAAAGTCCTTGATTTTGTCAAGAACTTTCCAAACATCCGTAACCACATTTTTCCCATCACAATTGATGACAGAATCTCTTGGAGCTCGAAGAGCCACGTGAAGTACCGGCCTGTCCTCAGTGCTGTTTATCTGTAGAAGCATTCTCAAGTAACACAAATACCATATGAATTATTTAAACAAAGATGAAGAGCCCACCAGTCATCTCCCCACTGCACAGAATATAGTAGAGGAAAGAACAATATACATACATGTTCTCCATTGTACATGTTGTTAATCTTCTGCCTCAGATGAGCTGCCTATAAAGGACATTTAAAGAGTATTTATATATAGATATTGAGCTTGCTTTGGATCAATGAGCTATCAAGCTAGGCTGTAGAAACAAAAACACCAAAGAACAAACCTCAGCAAGTTTAAAGAGTTTGTCCAAGGTCTCCTGAGAAATCCTTTGTCGAGAATAGTCCAACAGTATCCCATCAAACTCCCTATAAATGAAAATACGAGCCCGACATATTCCCACAATGAGAAACATTTTAGATGCATTACAGAAGAAGGAAAACTTCTAATGAGACCATTTACCTTCTGTCAAAAAAGTAAAAACATCCTAACCTGTTTGATGCGAAAGTGGACAGCTTCGAGCGTACCATAGACCACGCTCAAAATCATGAAAGTTTTAGCAAGACTTTGTGACCCCTGCCCATTTGATTTTACATCCGAAGGCTTGGGGTAATTTTTTACCTTTTATTTATGAAAGGTAAATAATCTCATTGTATTCATTCCCTCATAAAATCCTTAAATTTGCCACATAGTATTCATTCAAACATACAGCTCTAAAATAGAAAAAGGAAAGTATACTACAATCCAATGGACTGTGGAGAGAAAACAGTCCACAGGGACATCGCTATCCATGGACATGATTTGATGATGGAGATACAGCAGACACACCACAACAAGACAATCACAAAATGGTTGGTCCCATTCTCTACATCACCATCCATCATTACAATCAATGGTGATGACCCAATAGACTACTATCTTTCAACGGCACATTAAATTGTGGCATACTTCCTCGACAAAAAAATACTTGCAGAGTTTTTGGGTGACATACATCATCATTGATTTACAGCGTTCAGAATCATTCATAAGATCCCGTAAATGGGTTTTGTTGATATCCTCCACATGGACCTATATAGCAAATAATTGTACGTGATACATCTCTAAAACATAATAATTACGACAAGCAATTAGGGCATAAAGCATTGCATTAGCCATGGGTAAATACACACCTTTAAGTCCTTCCACGGTTGTGTATCACTAATGAGAGTGGGGGGTGCCATCAAACTCTGAAAGAGCTACAAAAACTTTAAAGGCAATAAACCTTTAAATATTTCACAATTTCCCCATTCACAATCATAACTACAATTCACCTCAATCATCATAGATAATCAATTTTCTCTCAAACTTCATGGCAATGATTAGTTCTGTTTTGCCTAGAAAAACTCTTCTATACATCAAGTAGTCAGGACTAATTAAACTTGCTATTTAGTCTTCAACCATTTCCTGAACTAAAATTCCACAACGAACTCAACAAATTTCCTGCTGATTTCCTTGAGAAATGCTGTTATTTACAAAAAGTTCCACTTAATCTATAGGTCTCTTTTTTTTGTTCACTGGTTCTACAACTACATTCTCAATGGTCAGATAAAACCCTGTGCTTGATATTGAAAAATAAAAAGTAAGCTTAATCCAAATCTATGCCAAAAAGGAAAGCAACACTGCAATGTTTTTCTTTCTTCTCTTCACGACCAACAAAAGAACTATAATTGAAGAAAAAAAAAAAAAAACTAACAATGAATCAAATTTAAGCAATCTCACTGATTATCTCATATTCCGACGATCACAATCACAGAAAAAACGACACCAATCCGTTATGATTGTCACCTGTGCAGTAGAGAAACCAGATTAAAAAAGAACTGGAAAATGAGAGAACTGCGAAATTTACCTGGAGTGGAGAGAGGAAGGCTTGAAGATGGAGGGATGAGGAGTAAGGTTTGTAGAGAGAGAGAGAGAGAAGAGATTCTAGAGAGAGAGACGATGGGTTTTGTAGAACGGGACTCAAGGATACGAAGGAATAAAGGAGTAAAAGGAAAATGCGTTTTTATAGATGTGGACTACCGGGATCAAGGAAATGTTCGTTTAAACCTTGGGTTTATAGAGAGTTTGTGCATGGAGAGAGAGAAAGTGTCGTATGTGTCCTACGTGGCGTGCAGTGTGCACTAATAGAGAGAGATTGTCCGCATGGAGAGAGAGAAAGTGTCGTATGTGTCCTACGTGGCGTGCAGTGTGCACTAATAGAGAGAGATTGTCCGGTGAGAGTTTGTAGAGAGAGAGAGAGGAGAGTTTGTAGAGAGAGAGAGAGGAGAGTTTGTAGAGAGAGAGAGAGGAGAGTTTGTTAAGAGAGAGAGAGTCTCATATGCGTGCTGCCGCTGTACAGAGTGCACTACGGGAGAGGGAGCAAAAATAGTGAGCGTCCATGTTTTCAAGATCGGATCGATCGTCGAATGAGCGAAAATTTCTGTGCAGTTGTATGGGCCAATTTGGATGGGCCGTTTAGTCACATGACACTTTCTCTTTCTACTCACCCTCACTCTTACTCTCTATACCTCTCTCCACCCATTCTCTCTCTACCCGTTTCTCCCTTTCTCTCTCTACCCTCCCTCACCATTTCTCTCTCCACATTCTCTATTCCCTGAAATTTCTTTGCCCAAGAAAACCTTGACTTTGAATCATCAAATCTCATTACAAAAACCAGACACCATTGATGCCAAAGCCTCTTCAGCTTGATTAGAACCCCAATTGTTCTCTAATCCAGGAAGCTTTCTTTAATGGCGGAGAGGGGCTTTAGGACTGTGAAAATGGAGGCTGGAACGCCATTATCGTCCTCTTTGATCTCTTGAATAGAGAGAGAAAGAAAGAAGACCGGAGGATAGATGTAGAAATATAAAGTAAGAGAGGGTGTTTAAGCTTCTCCAAACGTTTGCATAAGGCTATAAAAAGTTTTAAGGTTTCAAAACCCTTGGATATTCATTGTGGATAGGAACAAACTGAGAAGGACATGACATAGGAGTCCAAAAATGTAAACAAACATGATTGAGAGCTTGTTCCATTGGATAAGAACGAACAAGGTATCGAGAAAGAAGGTTTCCTTTTCTTTTTCCTTTTTTTTTTTTTAGCATTTCACTAGTGAAGGGATCCCCAGAAAAATGTAAATCCAGATGTCGTGGTGCCCCTGACCCTAGCCTTGAGCCCATCCCATTTTTTCATACTGAAAAATAAATAAATCCCACTAAATTTGACCCTACCAAATTCAAAGGATGTAATTAGCTGCTTGATATGGATAGAAAACACAAAAAAAAAAGAAAAGAAAAAAAAGATGTTTGATTTGCTTTTGTTGAGTAGAATGGCATCCCATGTTCTACTCACCCAAAAAAAAAGTGCATCCCAAGTTCTTTTTTTGGGATGGAAGAAAGTGGGGGATACTTTGGAACATTCAGTTAGGGATGTGGTTTCTATATAGAAATGTGTCCACCTCTTAACCATGTAATATCTAACATGGAGATGATGAATATAAATAAATAAATAAAATTTAAAATTTTAAAATAATAATTCCATTAAAAAAACATTTGAATCGTTGGTTTCGGGTCCATCTTTAAGATAATGGTTGCTTTATACCTCAAAGACTGCAAATGTAGAAATGCAGCCCCGGCCGCATGAAACAATTTATGTTGATTCCTCTTTTCTTTGGTTGGAATTTGTAATATGCAAATCTTCCATCATAACGCTATTTTTAGTATATAATCCTTCCATCCATAACGCTAATGTAGAGCATGTTTCTTGGAACATGTCAGGAGTTTAATTCTAGCCTTTAAAACCAATGTGTTATTATTTTCTATCTTTCATTTTTGGCAAGTAATGAAGCTCTCAGTTTTAAATTAATAAAACGGTTGTTTTAACTGAATTTGATGGCATTCAGCCAACTTTTTTTGCCACAATGTAGTAGCTTCTTACAGGTGATGGACCTCTCAGTTCTAAACTAGAAATCTAGACTCTAAATAATTTGCTATGGATTCAAGGAGGAAGATGACTGTGATCCCATGGCCATTTCTTTTGGTTTTCTTCCTTCCTCTTGTTACATTTATGGGGCAAACACAAGAAAAATCAATAAGTAAATGATTGAATGGGAATATGCATGCCTTTTCAAGGTTCCTAAGCAAACATTTATTTTGGTTAGTATGACTATAGGATCTTATTGGGCAAAAACCAAACCAAACCAACCATTGAAGTGTGACTGAGTTAATGGATGCATCTTAATTATTATGCAAAGTTGATGAGAGCTAATCTCCAACTATGCCTTTAAGAGTCACAGCACAACACACACATACATACGCACACACACAGAATCAACTTATGAAACTAACTCCCAATAGTGACCTCCCTTCTTGAGAAATACGTGTTGCTGATGCAAAAATAAACTCCTTTAGTCATTGTTTGCGAAGAAATTCATGAAATTGACATGGATTAGGAGATACCATGTTAAGTTTCATGATTTACAATGAACCTTTATGATACAGATATGTTTGATGAGTTTCTAGGGCTCTGTCCTTTTGAAAATTGCCATGCTCTTGTGAGCTGCATATGGATCAATTTTATCATTGGAACCGTCGAGTTTTAAGCTCATTCTAAGCGAAGCAATAGGATATGTTTACATTGTTTAATTCATTATCAGCTTACAAAGGATAGATGGTTTTCCTCATCATATGTCCATGCACAATCACATAAATATTGAACGTCATAATCTGCATGGTGTAGAGTGAACCAAACAAACAAGATAGGAACATTAAATCTGCAACTAAGTAACATTTGAGAGTGAGAGAGAGATGCCAAAAAAGGTTAATTAGTTAGGTCCTACAGAAAACAAAACAATAAAGAGACTATTAGATTACTTTGCCATAATCTAAGGTTCAAATTGGAAGCTTAACAAGAAAAAAGTTTGTTGTCGATAAATATCAAAAGAAAATTATGCGAATCAATCCAAGGCTATGTATGCATAGGGGCCATGTAAATTGCACATGAGCACAGAGCACACAAACTTATCTATTGATAGCAGCCTGGTATGCATAATAAATTGGCAAAATAGTGAGAATAACATAGTGTTTCAAAACTAGGATTGGCGGGGCAGATCATTCACTGGAGATCCACGTCAGATCGACGCTTCAAATCAGGTCTAGATCGATTCCAATCATTGATCCAAGAGAATATTTTAAAATAAAAATTAAACAAAAATTAATAAAGGTTTATGGGGTAGGGATTTGGAGGGACCGAAAAAAAAAGCTAGATAAGCTTTAATAAATAAATAAATAAATATAAAGGGGGTTCTGGGGAACTAGGTTGAGATTCATATCATCTTGGAATTAGTTTGGTCTCAACCGATGGATTATCTTGTTCATGAAGATTATAAAAAGAGAATAGTATTTCCTTTGCCAAAGAGAAAATCATTAAAACATGGTGGGGAAAAATAAAAAGAATTCAGTGGGTCCACAAATACTTTTGCTACTATGAAATTTGAAACACATCTCAGTATTTGTTAGATGTCCATATTTGGAACTCTAAACATGCAAACTTTGATACTTCACTAGGATTCAATGGTTAGTAAGAAAGATAAGTGGAAATAAGATAAAAATAGAGCCTACTGAAATAAGATAAAAATATTGCCTACAAGAGAGTGCCAACAAGAAAGACATGAAAATTTGAAAGTGAACCACCACGGCTAAAACTACACCACCAGAACCCTCTAGAACGAGCTTAACAATTTCTGCGATAACCCCACCCAAACCCAAAAAGAACCCACGTCTCTTCATCTCACCCAATGAGTAAGACTTGGGATAAATGGGAACCAAAAACCAGTGACTTTCATGTTCACTTTCCACATCACTCAAAACTCCCATTTCTCTCCATTGAACTAATAATTTTATTAGAACATCTTCAGCAAACACCCTTGAAAACCACCCATCTACCCAAAAAATCATCATCATTTCCCTTTAATCTATGTAGCCTTTCAATCTCTGTATCTAGGTCCTTAATTGACAACAAGAATAACCTAATATTGAGCAATTAGCTTAGGTCAAATGGCTCCTGCACCATAAAACTTGCTAGTGAACTGCCTGGTTCACTGTATGGACTCTTGGATAATCATTCTTCGCAATTGCTAAGCCAACTTGCCAAGAATTGGTACACAGCTTGGCTGGTGCCAAAGTCTAAACCAATGGTTTAAAAACCGGATCGGTGACCCGGATCGGGCTTTTCAAAAACCGATACGGATCGGCGAATCGGCGATCCGGATCGGCAAATCGGCGATCCGGATAGGAATAGGGTGAATCGGTCAGAATAAAGCTTCAAAAAAATCCGAAAAAATTATTAAAATTCATTATAAATATTGGGTTTTAGGAATTCAATAAAAAATGAGGGTACTCCATTAAGAATTTTCATGTTTTTGAATGAATATGCGAATATTGATATGTTCTTTCCCTGCATGAACCGCCATTCAGCTTTTAGTTTACAGTATTTCGTGCTCATCCCTACACTGTTGCTGTTGGGACTCGATATGTGAATAATATGGCTTGGATAGGGTGGCCTCAGAATCATCATCTCTCTCGTTTTCTCTTCGAATAATATGGATTAAAAAAAAAAAAACAAATTTTCAAAAAAATCGATCATGGATTAAAAAAAAAATCACAAATTTTCAAAAAATTCTATC